CATTAGAATCACCATTTTCATCTTGGCTATCATCATAAGCTTCACTACGTTCATGACCACTTTTCTGCTCTTCAAATACACCTTGGAAGTGTATTCCTACAAGACAGTGTACACAGGAGAGAGTACTTCCCACTTTGAGATTGGGGGGGGGGGGGGGGGGGGGGGGTTTCTTTCTTTTTAAAGGAGTATTAGTAGAAAATAGGAAAAGGTACGTAGGCATGATATGGTGACTAACTCTTCACATCGACTTCTCACTCGTCCCCGGGGATGACAAGTTAAGATGAATCTGCCCTCACAAGAGATTCATTTCCCTCCTAGAGGCTGGAGAACATGTATACAAATCGATGGGAGACCAGCTGAATAGAGCACGTCACAATTAAAACATCACGGTGATTAGAAGATGGTATCAAGAGACCTAATGTCCTTTGTGTTTCAATGTAGTTAATTAAGCAGTTATTACAGACGGCTTTGTGTAGAGCTAATCACCTCCTATGCCCTCGTCTTCATCATACCCTGCTCTGGCCCTCCCGCCCGATATTCGGCATCGCTTTGTTGACCAACGGGGTTTGTATCCGGATATCTAGGCACCCTTCAAAACCCTGATGTAGTCTCCAAAGATCATGGCCACAACTTGCTCCAAACGCCGAGCGTCTGCCGCAGATTGTAATATATCCTATGGCCAGGCCAGTCCCCCCTTTGGGTACCACTCCTTTCATGAAAACATCCTCCCAAACGCAGCGATGCCTGCGTATCAGCCTCTGGTCTGATGTGCGGATGTTTTCAAAGATGGCCACTAAGACCATGTCCGTAAGGGGGCAGGAAGCATCTGCATCATCTAGATGAAGCGTCGAGGTCATCAGCGTCAGCAAGCAGTATCCGGAGCCTTGTCATCGAGGAATACCGTTGTTGGTGTAGTTATTGTTTGTCGTGTGTAAAGCTCTTCGATTAACTTGAAAAGCAACATTCTTAAGGGCCGATTAGGATCCGAATGTTCATCGCTTCAGCCCAAAACGCCATGTACCGATTACACCCCCCGCCTAATTATCACATGCAAGGTTTGACCGCCCTTATGCACTGAGATCCATGAATGTTCGTTTTTTGACTTCGTAATGATGATGACCGTGTTTTTGCTTCTGCAAGAGAGAAAGGCTGTGTGATGTACTTTTCTTTGTCCTCAAAATAGAACCCAAAAAATGACCCAGAAGTGGAAGAAAAAACCAGACTGCACAGTCATTAAACGTCAAAGTGACCACCACCAATCATCTGTTCTTCGTTGGTGGTTGTGCGCACAATGCCGCTCATGCGATTGCCTCTCTGGTTCATGTCCTCCAGGTCATCCCAGTCATCATCCTGGTGGTGGGAATCACGCATCTCTTCGTCATCATAGCGGCCCTTATCTCTCATGTGATCGTCGAGAGCGCTCTCGTCCACGAAGGTGAAGCCCTGAAAGTTGGCCTGCACAGAGGGTGAAAGAGGCGTCGATGTAGCGAAGCCCTTGGACAGAGCAGCAGCCCGTTCGTTGAGCGAGCCGTTGTTATCAAGCGCGTTGGTGAACTCAGGGTCAAAGTACGACACGTCTGTGGCAGAGGTCAACTTAGGCTTGAAAGGAGGTGTGATGAGCTTCTTTGCCAAAATGTCCCAGTCAATGTCGGCAAAGAATGGGTGGCGCTTCAACTCCTCCGCGTCGTCCGTCGCACCAAGTCTGTGCTTTGGGTTTCTGTTGAGCAGGCCTTTCACGAAGTTGCGACCCTCCTGCGACAAGGTGTCCCGAGGAAATCTGACCTTGCCGAAGGCGATGTTCTTATACATCTGTTGGGTGTCCTCCGCATAGAAGGGGCTCCAACCACAGCACATCTCGAAGACCAGAACTCCCAGCGACCAGAAATCCACCATCTTGGTGTATCCTGACTCGTCAAGAAGAACTTCGGGAGCGAGGTACTCGGTTGTGCCGCAGAACGTGTTGGTGGTATCGTTCTTTGTCAAGTTTGCCTTTGACAGACCAAAGTCGCAAAGGGCAATGTGACCATTTGCGTCGAGCAGGATGTTTTCTGGCTTCAGGTCACGATAAACAATATCGTTGTTGTGGAGGTGCTGAATGGCCAAGATAAGTTCTGCGATATAGAATTTGGCTCTTCGCTCATCGAACCGTCCTTCTTTCTGGAGATGCCAGAACAGCTCACCGCCAGACATGTAATCGGTGACCAAGTAAAGGTCTGATGGTGTCTGGAAGGAGAACTTGAGGCCCACAATGAAGGGCGAGTCGGACATGGCTGTCCGAACCAGGATATTGCGCTCACCGACGGTATGGGCGACTTCCTTCTTCTGGACGATGACCTTCTTGGACAGGACCTTCATGGCGTAAATGCGCTCGGTATCCTTCTTCCGGACCTGGTAAACTTGTCCAAAGGTACCTTTGCCGATCAACTTAAGAATCTGGAAGTCTTCCGGACCAAAGTGCTTTATCTCAGTTCGCTGATAGACGGCTTCCACGTAAATCTCCCCTGTAGGAGCGTTCTCTGCCATCGTGTCGGCATGGCCCTTGAGCTGGTACCAGCCACGTACCGGGTTGCTGGAATCTCTGTTGGCCTGGAAATCGACTTGACCCAAAAACTCCTCTCCCTTGTCGGTGTGATCATAGACGGAAATATCGACCAGCATGTTCGAATCAACAACATCACTGAAAAGTCAGCCAAACCCCAAATGTCTCAATCATTGCATCAACTTACAATTCTGCCTCGGCGTCCCACTTTGGACTGGTGAAGGATCGGCGGGAACGGTTGCGGAACGTGTTGTAATCGGATATGCTGGTGTTGCTGCTCTGGCGACTGCGCATAGGAATAGACATGACTGGGCGGCCTGAGTCGCTGCCTTGTCTTTGAATCGGAATACCCCCAAAGGAGGGCGCAGGGAGGTTCACTTCATCCTCCTCTTCGACGGAGCGCGGGCCTCCTGAGATGAGCTCGCTTCTCTGGAAAACAGCTACGACATAGGGGTCCTTGGCACGGCGCAGTCCTTTGGCCTCGACAATCTTGATCGTGAGCTTGCCGCGAGCAGCGGGAACTTGAGCACCGGTAGTACCGCGCCGGATGGGCGTCTGAACACCACTAGGAGGGACCGTCTCGTTGCTACTTCTCTTGGAGGTCGTCTTCTCCTCAGCCTGAGATGGCTGCGCCGCTGAAAGCGCCCTTGTAGGAGTTGGTGGGCCACTCTTGAATCCCGCAAATTGTGTTAGCTTCTTGAGCTGATCAACTGACGAAGAGCTGTGAAGGGAAGCGGTTTTCTGCGCTGAACCAACGTGGAAATGAATGGGGGATGTTGGTGTGATGGGCTTGTGAAGACTGGGATTTGATATGTGATGAGCATGCACAACTGAAGTTGTGACGATGCTTGAAGGTTGGGACATGAGGGTGAGACTATGGCATTTTTGCGGGTAATCTGTGACGCCTCTTTGGAGCAACGGTCGCGCAGATGAGGATGCCGCGGACCGTGATTCTCCATATCGCAACGACAGACTTCTTTTCAGAAGTCCCGCCGACGACCGTCTGGATATCGGCGGTGTCGGATACTGATGTGTCTGAACCAGTGCCATGGATGTGGTGTGTGGTGATGATGGCCGCTCTTCAGGGTGGGGGAGTGATGGGGATGTTGGTTCAGGATCGCCACCGGGCACAGCATCCACTGAGCTGACCTGAGAAGCCTTCCCGTCCGTCTCGACTTGTTTCGTTGAGGGATCAGGAAGCGATTGTCCTCGATTGCGATCCGACGCGACAGGGGCAGATACAGAATTGTGAGAAGAATCTGTACGAACCTGGCCGAAGTAGCTCATAATGCCCGGCAGGCGTTTGTCATGGAGGTCGGGTTGAGGGGTCGCCACCCCGGAGCGGGGCGTATCAAAGCCGATCTGATCCGCGCCATCTTCGTCAGGTGCGGCCGCGGGAGTCCTGCTGGGGTGGTTAACAGTGAGATTCATCGTTAATTGTGGCGGAAACTGCGCGGAGGAGGGGAAATCGTGGGTTGGACAACAGAGGGATGACACGCTGAGCAACACAGCGAAAAGCGGAGGCAAAATTTAGAGTCAAGAGCTAGCTCATGACGGCTGCCAAGACCATGACCACACTTGGGTACTTTGGGTGAGGACGAAGAATTGAAGCGAGGCGGAGTAGGGAGGAGTTCTGCCTGTGTGCGTCCCTCTGAGTGTGCCTCTGACGGAAAAGAACGGGTAAATTTTTTTCTCTTCGTCCTCTCTTGAGCTTGGGGGTGGAAGCAAGGATGCCGTAGCAATAGCTTGCCGGGTAGTGCAGTTCGGGGGGGATGATGCAAAGGACCAAAAGGGAAGAGCCGTCAAATAAAAGACATGAGTAAAGTGGACTTTTTTGTTCCGAGGGCGCCCCGTCTTCATAGGTCCTCGACCACTAGTCAAGGGCCTTGGATCGGAGGTTTTTAGTAAATGCAATGGCGGGGCAAAGACGCTGGGCGGGCGAGGGGAAAGGGAAGAGGGGGAAACCATTCAGACGACGAGGTGCAGGGAGAGCTTCAATGCTGACTTGACTAGAGCAAGAAACGACTGGTTTTCCCTCCGGTTGTTGGTCCATTGTTGGACGAGTCAGGCTTCTCAACTTTGATAAGCCTCTTGCAGCATTGGCTCTTGGACTGGCTCTGGCTCGCTGGCTATGGCGGCCCCCGCGTACCTACACCTCCATTTGCCCTCTTCTAGTCTTGTCACCGCATTGGCAACCGAACGAAGGGTTCAGGTAAGGTAAGTGAACATGGGTAGGGGAAGGGATGGGACGAGGGGTAAGCAGTGATTTGCATGTGCAAGCGAATACTGGATGAGGGGTGTAACAGGACTTTGAATTGATGCGTCGTATATCACCCTCACCCTCACCCACGACATGGTCCACGGAGCAAAGGTCAGCTTCAGGTATGCCTGCCACCGGCGACCACACAGCGGACGTGTGCCGCGGACGTGTGCCGGTGGGGGGGGGGGGGGGGGGGGGAGGGGGGGGGGGAACCAGACGAGTGAACAAGCTCTAAGACCACCGTAGGAATGGGTGAGAATAGACGTGATAATGGTAGCGGCAACAGGTTGAAGGAAAAAGAGGCGCCGAATGGGCTCAGTTGCTTGCAGCCTCGGACACTCGTCCGGGATCGTCTGGGGTCCCTCAGCGGTAGGCTGAAAGGGCCGTTGACGGCATCGGCCTCTGACACTAGCCAAATGAGGAACGTCTTGGCCCAAACCCATCGGGTGCAGGAGCGAGCAGGCGAGAAGAAAGGCTCCTCGTTCGCCAGCCACCCCTCCATCGCCACGCTTTTGGGTAGTATGTGTCTATGTCCGACGATGACATGCCGCATGGAATGGACACCCTTCAAGAGCAGAGGCTCCTTCCAGGGTCCAACGCCGCGGGGCAGATCGGGAGCATGGGAACAGCAAGGTAATGTGACGGGGTGGTGACAGGTAATGAAAAGTGTCGATGACATATGAGGGGGGAAGAGGTCTCGAACGTCCGCCGGGCCCAGCTAGTGACGGAGACAGGAAATGGTACTTTTCATGGTTACGCAACTCCAGCTTTGAAGGAGCAACCAGGCGACAGGCAGGCCGGGTGTGAAGTCCCATCTGAAAAGGGAAATAAAGAACGGATATCAAGCGAATGGGAAAGGCGTCACAACGCAAGCCCAACAGAGAGAGCAAGCAAGCTAACGCCACACAGCTTTGACCGAGCACGCGGTGAAGCAGTTGGACCACTGGTCGGTGCAGGACCCAGAAGGGACCTCTGCGTGGGGTTTGCTGGATAGGAAGGCAGAGAGACACAATGAAATGGGTGCAATAGGGGTCCGAATAGGAGCGCAAGGTAGCAGGCAGAGGGTGCAAAGGATGCAGAGCAGCAGAAGAGGCATAACGAAAAATTGCAACATACCTAGAAGTCGAGCCTGACATCATCATGGCCTGTGTCGCGCGCTTCAACAGGTCGAAGCCGCCTGTGTTTGTGTTTGCATGTGCACCCTCGGAGCCGGACATGGTTGCTGGCTGGCGTCTTTGTGTGACGGACGGTGAAGGTGAAGGCCTAGTCAAGGCAGAGGCCTGAATCCTTGGTTGACGTCAAAACAAGCCCGTGATATCACCACGATGCCGAGGGATCGGTGGACGCGAGAGACGGGCGGCAGATGGGGGTGAGGTTTGGCGCAGGTGTGCGTGCGAGTGTGCGTGTGTGTGTGTGTGTGTGTGTGTGTGAGTGAGAATGCGGTGAGAGTGGTGAGTTTGGTTTGTGAGAGGTAGCGGCGGCGAGTGAGATGCGGCTGCCGTTGCGGTTGCGGTTTCGGTTGTGGGTGATGTGATTTTTCGGAGGTGGAATTGGAGACTTGATTTTTCTTCTCTCTCGCGCCGGAGGGGGGTTGAGAAGTTGAGAGAGAGTAAGAGTGGGATGGAGTGAGAGAGAGAGCCAGGCCACGCTATGAGATCGAGTTGCCTTCAGGTTGTGTGCGTGGGAGTGGAGGCGGGAGGGTGGAGGCGGTAGGAGAGGGGAGGGGGGGACAGGACCACGAGAGGGGAAGGCGTGACTGGGTCCAGTTGAGTCTCGAGGCTTGTTGCTTCCTGCCTTTTTTGCCGTCCTTCTTTTTATTGTACCTTTGGTGTCGAGTACAGGGTACCGTCTGTGTAGGTATGGCTGATGTGACCTATTGACTGAGGTGTACACAGCGCGCCGACTGCCCAGCTGTGTAGGCGAATGCGCTATGCAAGCTGAACTGAGATGCGCACTTCCAGCCAGTTACCCGTGGAAAAAAGGAAAGGTCCAATACCAGGCCGGATAGGATAGGAGGACAGAGCGGCTGCGAGCAGTGAAGTGTCTGTCTCCGTTGGGTACGGTACTCTTGTGAGGCCAGGTACCTTGGGTGCTTGGGTATCGTGAGGTATGAAAGTGGGTCGGCAGCGACAGCGGCAGCGACAGCGTAGCAGCCCAGCCAGTGTCAAATGGATTGAGGTGGTCCTTGGTAAGGCCCGAATGGAAGCCAGGGAGTCCGTGATGATGTTGATGACAGCATCCAGTGAGAGCGAGCGGATGTCCAGAGGGGCGGATCGTGAAGTGGCACTCGTCTTGTGATAGACTGTAGGTAGTCTTGAATCGAATATAGTACTCCGTCGAGGTCGAGGGGGTTCCGGTTCGTGAGGGGAGAAACGACCCGATTCTGGGAACCTGGAAAAATTGGGTTCAAGCCTTCAAGGGTGGAGACGGACGAGTCGAAATGAGGTCAAGCGTGGAGAGTTGACCTTTGAGGTGAGGTGTGAAGTTGGCCTGTGAGGCACCCCGAGTATTTCGTGGGGTAAAATAACACAGCTGAGTGAGTGGTCGTCGGACCGGTGAGATGAGGTGAGGTAAAGAGGATTGGATGCGAGCATGAAGCGTGGGAGAGTCGGAACTCTGTGAGTGGCAGGTTACAGGCGAGGAGAGGAGGTGAGGCGGAGTGAGGTAAGAGGCGTGGGAGGAAAGCGGCGACCTGGATTGAAGCCTGTTCTCTTTGAAAGTGGGGTCGTTTATGGAAGGTAGGTGCCTGTCACAGGAGGCTGCGTCTTATTTGGTACCCAATGTCCACCTGGATGTTGTAGGTTCCCAGTGATGGGCTCCCAAGGGTGAGTTGTTATATGGGAAAGCCCTGCCCTCTTCCAATGCCTGGGGTAAGATATGGAGTAGAGTATGAATAAAAAAAATAAAAAAAGACAAATAAAAAGAGGACGGGAATTCCGGGCAAGTCCAGCCTCAGCTCTCACTTGGACGGTCGACGATGTTAGGGAGAAGAGTCACAATCTACTCCGTAAGGTGCCAGCGGAAGGTGCGATGCAGCTGCAAGGTAAAGGTAAGGTATTAGCCCGTCGGCCAAAGATAACTCCACATACAAATACAGCTTGAAGGGTATCTATCTACCTTAGCTTAATCTAAAGGTAGCTTCAACATGCTTTGGCTACCTAGGTAAGGTGCGATACAGAGTAGATGTGGAAGAAAAGCTGGGAAAGAGAATCAACACCAAGACAACAAAGGTACCTTGGTCTAGATACCGCCACCCTGTATGTCTGTGTACCTACCTTACTTACTTCCACTGACGAGAGGAGGTTCAAGAGACTCGAAAGTACGGGTACCGAGCTCGGAATGCCGTTTTGAGGAGTTTGAGACTTTTCAAAGTGTTCTGGATTGCCTCCACAGCATTCCACAAATCAACGGCCAATCCGCCGGTGCTTACCGCGCTCTGTGCGTCCTACTTTGCGCCCCGGGAATAATCAAAATGCGACTGGCTGGATGACTGCATCTTGTCCAAGGTATTTGCCCCCCCCCGGCGAGACTGGTACTGTCAGAATAATAAGTAGGTATCTCACGCTGCATGATTGCATCTCGTCAACATGTATTACGGAGTACCTACAAACTACAAGTTACAGCCCCCGAAGCCGGTGCAGGTGCAGAGCAGATGCAGATGCAGCAGGTGCACCTCACCCCCGCCTGCCTCTTGTCTCTTGCATCCGCTTCCATTTGCACCTGCACCTGCACCTGCACCTGCACTTTTCACGGATTCCCTTTTTGGCTTCGCGTCTCCTTCAACTGCAGTAATTGTCCCCGCCTGTCTCTCGGTGCCCTCCGCCAGAAGCAACCATGAGACAAGCTTTGATATCTTCCTCGTTTCCTCACGGTACAATCTCAGGTGTCTGGTTCATTTCTATCCTCAAGAGCTGACTTTGTAAGTCATTCCAAGAAGAAACACCGTGTCTTCCAACTTATACTTAGGGTGCCATCGCGCCACGCTTCGGCTAGGCCTGCTCCATTGCAGGGGAGCAGTGTTCCAAACGACCTTCTAGAACGGACCCAAGAACCAGAGAGGAATGTCCAGCGCCACTCGCGCCTTGAACGAACTACCTATCAACCGGAGCATATTTGCCAGCTTTGCCATCCAACCAACCTAGGTACCAGTATCCAGAACTTCATCTCCGGGCTGAGTGACACAAGTCAGTACAAGAAAAGCGCCACGGGGGGGACTGCCCATTACCGCGCTACGAATATTTCAACCATCTCTTCGGCGGGCCCCAGAACAGGCTTGTGGGGGGCTTCGCCGGCTTCCCTCCGAGACCGCCGACCCAAGGGATCCTCCTCGGGAAACCAAAACGTTGACCCGCCGGCGGGCCATTCCCCTCCATCCGACAAGGGCATGCCGCGAGCGAACCGCCGGGGTGGGTGCACTGGAGGGTGGGCTTGACGGACGATGCGATTGACAAGGAGGATGAGTCAATAAGTCTCGACGAACCAACATCCACATCGCCTCTTCCAGCGAAGCATTGGCTGCAACACAACACCACAATACTTCGATCATCTCACGGTCTCGCCCTCTGTACTTGACTCCACGCGATTGGAATGTACAGCTACCGATACCTATAGATTACCCCCAAATACCACACCAACAACCTTGCTATCTTATCACTTATCGGTTTACCTCCCACGGCGATACCTGCAGCACAGTTATTGTCCATTAATTACCTCGCCGAGCCAAGAAGGGGGGCTCTGCTTGGGGGGACTATCATCAACCACTTATCAGCTCCCAGCACCTTTGACGCTTCTCCTACAACAACTCGAATCCATGCACCAGCAGGTTAAGACAGAACTCGGGTCTGGAATGTCTCTCGGGACAGGTCCAGCTTCAGCCTTTTAGAAATCCGCCACTGTCTTCAGGCTTCCGTAATGTCAGCTCTCGACGTTGTACCACAGTACAAGGCCATAGCACCCCCGGTCTATCCCTCAAGTTCGCCCTCACAGCTCCTACTTCTCTCGATAACTGAATTTTCCATCGCCCAGTGTGGCGGACTATCTGGCGCTAAAAATAATAATAAAAAAGACTTCGCGGTAATGCGGCGGTCAAACGTAGCCTATTGATTGACGAGTTGCAAACAATTCCTGTTGAACCGCTGACCGGCATGCCAGTGTAGGCCATTGCTTATTCTAGGGTGCTGATGAGCTTGGCCTCATCAATACTGGATCAAGACAGTTTCTTTCAATGAGGAACGTTCATGGCGTGGCAGACAAGGGGCAGGACTCAACGTAACCCAATGAGGAGTCCTGTTGCAAGCTTCGCCAACTTGTGTAGAGACAGGATATCATCAGCTGTCACGATATTCAAGGTAATAAGCGCATAGAATCGTCATACTGGCGAACATATCTCCTTGCTCTTCCCTCCTGACCTCTACACTAAGCTAGTCAGTCAGTCATTCACCTGATGTATCCGTCCTACCACACCGACATGTCTTCAACTATCGGTCAACTCCAAGCGTGCCCCAAATCCAGTCTTGGAATGACCGGTTTCATGGCGACGACTCGGAGTCCCGCATGGCCTGACATGGCATAGCATGGTCCTCTATACCCGTCAAACCCATACAAGATCAACGTATCGGTACCGGAGCACCACTCACTGCGACCATATGCTTACGCGATGTCCTCTGAATCCTGCTTCACATCCCAAGTGGCTGCGGGATGGATTCCTGCGCCACGATTCACTTGACAGGACTTCACTGTCAAGACGTTAACCCCAACATTCCCCCACCCACGATTACAGGATGGACGCATGGAAGTCCAACGACAATCGCCAATTTTCCCCGCCGTTCACCTCCTAGTGGAGCAACCGTCCCGCCGCTACGCTACACAAACCGGTCGACTCCACTACGTCAGTCGCCTATTCTTCGTCCTCCTCGACGAGGGAGTGGGACTTCAAAGGTTGCTCCCCGTCCGATCCGACGTTGTCCAGCGTTCGAGACATGGCGGGTTTGCGGGTTTGCGGGTTTTTGTCGACGAGTCATTAGGCTCGCTTCATTGCCACGCCAGGCAACCGCTACAATGACCAACCTCATGTCTTGCATCGTTACTAAAGTGTCCCCAAACCGCTATACGAGAAACGGCGGCAACACGGGCATGCCTCACCGAAAAAACGTAGCGCATGCCTGAGCGACGGATGGGAAGTTGGCTGGCGGTTTCTCGGCACAGAATATCCCGTCTGATAATACATACAGAAGAAAGGTCGATATGTTCCCAACAAGAAATGCTCAACCTATGTAGGAGTCACGAATACATGGACCGATGCCAGGCACGACCAACGAACATGTCCTATCACCCCCTCGAGCTACTGTATACCCAAACTCTGCTTCAAGTCTCTTCTACCGCGCGACCGCGCGTCTTTCCACCAACGTTTCGCAATCACACAACGTCCTGAGCGATACCTAGACTCGTCCGAAAGGACACTCGACCCGACCCGCCGGATCTGCACCTCGCCCATCCCGGTTTGTCAACCCAGCAAAGTATAGGTTTCCGTCCAAGCTGTGGCCCGAGTTCCTAATTGACTGACATCCCCTCTCCCTCTCCCTCCCTCTCTCTCTCGGAACCCACATGCCGATGAACCTACGTGCTTTCTTTGTACGACCCTTCGTGCATATGGACGGCCCCGTCTCACAAATACCTTCCACCTTTGAGACTCGCAGTTCGGCATCAGCTTGCAATAGTTCGCGTTCTTGGCAACTCAAGCAAGATCCCGTCGGCATCGAATAGATCTCTGATGCCTTCTTTACAGGTTAGGTCTAACGGGCCCTCGTGTGCCCGTTGAGGAACTTTCATGCGTAAAGATGCAAGCTCGACGTCAATGCTTTCCGTGTTATGCCGATGAGGGGTTGATGCCTTCTTCGGATCGCGATTGCCATGTGCCAAAGCCGGACGATCTAGGTCAATCAGAGAGAGAGGGGGAGAACGAGAGAACGAAAGCCAAGTACAAGGTTTGGATCGATACAGTTGCAATATGTCCCAACTTTTTCTCCTCGGGATAGGTTCCCTGGGCGGCCAACGTCGGCCCCTGGGACGAGCCGCAAGCCGCAAGCCGCAAGCCGCAAGCCTACCGCTTCTGAGCCGCTTTCTTGGTAAGTAGCTATGCTTGACTTTGGTGAGTTCCGGTGATGGACTGAACGCAAGAGTCATCATTGATCTGGTTTCCGTAAAGTAAGACTACAACAGTAGTAGAAAAGCCATGTCACATTGTACATCACAGGTCACATTCCACTGGTTCGGGGATTTTGTCTCCCTCTTCATTGTCAGTGTGGTGAAGCGCACAGTCGACTCGAAGGTCAATCTTTGTGGAACGGGAGTTTAGAACAGTAGTATCGGTACTGTTTTCTCAATACTTATGCTCGTAATTGCGTGAGCATCTATCGTCTATGGTGTATCCTCGCGCTAAGCTTCTATAATGCCCTTGTCTTTTTATGTTCGGATCCCACAGATGTATACCACTGACCAGACAATCGTTGGCGTTGGTATAGGTGTAGAAACGGAACTCTATGAACCAAAGACAGGACTCCCCATGTGGGATCTCTAGGATCCATCTATGTGGAATCGCTCCACGTCTTTCTAGTGTTGTAATGCTGCATGCCGTCAACGCCACTGGGTATACTGTATGCTTCCAATGAAAACAGACAATGTTCGCCGCCCTTTGTTTTTCTGTATCCAACCATGAAGGGATCTCCGGGATCCAGGAGTATATCTCTAGCCGCTCTCTCTGACGCATTAATCAACCATTAAGTAGTAAGTTCGTAAGTCGTAAGTCGGAAACCCTCTGTTCCTTTTCCGTCAGCAGTACATGCCGATGCCCTCATGTCCGATATGCCGCATTCTCGTCTCTCACTCACTCATGTCAACGTCATTGTCGCCGTCGTCGAATGTCTTCGTCTTTTGAAGAGCCAGCTCCTCCTTGCTAGTCAGAAGCGAGGTCTTCACCCAGGCGCCATTCTTCGCCTGGATCCAGCGAATGTTCTGCGTGTTGAGGAGGATCCTCGGCTTCTTGGTCGCCGCGGCGCCGAGGCGGGCTGCGATGGCGAAGGAGGAGGAGGGCCTTAGGCGGTCTAGGTGGATGGAGACTTGTTGGTTGAGCCAGTGGTGGATTCGCCGGCGCGGGGACCAGTTTGAGCTTCCTGTTTCAGCTGTTCCAGCCGTTCCTGTTCCCGTTGCGTTGGTACCTGTTGTCTCTGTACCTGCTGCGAGGTTTGCGCCTGCTGCTTGGACGACGGTCTTGGGTTCCTTGGGTGGACGAGCGGGAGAGATGCCGGCGTCTGAGCCGCGGTGTTGTTTGCGGCGGCGACTGGCAGCGTCGACCGAGGCTGACGAGGAGGCCTTGAGCTTGAGCTTGGTCTGCTTGGGCTGGAGGCTTGGGGTGTTTGTATTTGTTGTGGGTGGGGTGATGGGATTGCGACTGGGGAGGAGTCTGATTTTGGTGATGGGCCTGAGGTTGGTATTGGGTGTAAGGTTGTTGTTGCTGGCGCCAGCGCCGGTGGATGGGGTTTGGGGGTTGGCCATTGTGAAACTTTGTTGTAGGTGGGATATTTTGAGGTTGCGTGAGGGTTGTTTGACGTGGTTCGGCCTTTGATGGTGAAGTAGAGTAATTGTGATGGAGGAAGATTGCCTTTGATTGTTGATGAAGTTGAGTTGGAAACGATGGAGTTGTCGAAGCCTGTTCGTTCTCAAGTTCGTTGCTGAATGTTTTTTGCGTTCTTCAGATCCGCGAGGACCATGAGAATGTGTGTATGATCAAAAAGATGGGTGCAACAATGGGAGCCGAGTACCGCCTTTATATATCATTCAACGGGACGTAAAGGCGGTTCGTCGAATATGGAGTTGGTGGCCGAAGAGGTTAAGTGAACAATCGGAGATGGCTATTTGCCTGATTAGGGTACTTGGACGAGCAAACCGGGCTTTTTCAGATGAAGAAGATTGTCGAGGGGGTTCTTATTCACTGCTTTGCCCCGGTCTGACTCTGCTGGGCTGGGCTGAGGTATCTCCGTTATATTTCGAGGCAGAGTTCTGGAAATACCTTGGGTCGGGTGGGTGGTTGGGTTGGTTGAGAGAGGTGAATGACCACCGAGACCCGCGAGCCCGTCTGGGCCGCGTGACCACCTCAGCCTACCACCTATCCCCAGTGCACCTCAGAAACCCTACAAGTCTCTGGTAGTCACTCGGCTCTTTCTTATTTCAGATAATTTACCTTGTCCATTTCGCTGGTCAAGCTTCGTGGTTTCCGTGTGTTTTGACAATGGAATGAACGACAAGGTGAATGAAACGTGTTTCCTTTGAGGCGGAAAAGGTTATCGAAACTCGCCCTCTATTTCGGGCTTCAAACGAGCTAGACAAAGAGTTGATGCAGACGGCGCACTCATACACGCATTCAAAAAAAGAAGAGGTTGCAATCCTTCAATATCTTCTTTTGCTCTTTTCGCCCTTTTCCTACTTCAGTTGCAGATTCGAGCATGGATCAACGAATATCTTCAGCCCCTCCACTCCCCTTAAACAAACCAAACCGACAAATTAGACCATCGAGCGACCAACGCATCCCGCCACTCTAACTTCTAGCCTTGTACTCGGCGATAATCTTGTCGATCCGTCGCTCAGCCTCCGGCGTCGTCTTTGGGTTATTTCGAGGATCAGAGCCGCTTCTTGGAAGTAACGGGTCCGGGAAATATTCTGTTTATTGGAAGCGCTTTTGTAAGCTAGAGCCCTTCTCTCACCTCTTCTTCCTCTCTCCAAATTTGGGTTTCCATCGACATTCGTTGAGGCTGGCCCCCCGTGACAGCGCCGTTCTATCAGGACGAGCAAGAGGTTGAAACTTACTGGGGTCGAATCTCTGATCGAGGAGCTTCGCCTTGAAAGACTCGTACTCTTCTCTAAACTTCTTGTTGTTCCAGCCAGGCGTGGCCGCTACCGCCGCCGCAGTAGCCTTGGGGTTGTCTAGAATGCTTCCGCCGGCCTCGGAGCTGGGGGTTTGGAGCTTTGCGCCGCCGGCTGCCATTGTTTTTGCTGTTGGGCTTTTCCTTTAATGTTGTATATGTTGGGTTCCTGACAAGTGATGAGCTACCTGTGCATGTGTATTCTGGGTAGGTATGAACTCACCTTGGATATCCCGAGTTGACAATGGGGAGGATGCGCCAAGTGCTGGCAGAGGGAAAGCACGACTTGGAACAAAGGCCTTGAGGGTCAAGAAGTAAGTGGTGGAATATGGTGATAGTCTTTCTCGATTTTAGGTGGAAAATACTGAACGAATCACCATTGAGGGGATTCCGTCGCAGAGCAGTGAGACGGGGTGGTAAGGCATGAGGTGAGGTGAGGTGGACGTCGTTCGCCCGCCAGTCTGTCACCCGGGCCGGTCAACCCCACCATTCCAAGGGTGTTTCCAAGATCCGATGCGCCTGCTGACCCCTGGGTGCCCCTCCACACAAGACCACAAAGGATACTTCGACCATACATAGTTTTGCATTGGAAGATTCCCCGGGGGTAAGTACCTCTCATGTTCCTGACCCAGCTGAGGGGAGCTTTAAGAAAAAAAATAGCCGTAGCCGTTCCCGACAACTCTGACCAAGGCACCACCAACAAGGGGTCCGTTAACCTCACTCATCTCATCCCACCTTTTTTTTCCCTTTCCACCATTATTGTGAGCATCATTTTCACCACCACTTTGGACAACCAGCCCTTTTGGTTACTTTATGTTCACCTTTATCCTATTCACCCATCCAATGCTCCCACATTAGTCCAAGACCACCGCTCGCCTCGCCACGGTCACAGCACACCTCTCCTCCCTTCCAGGTTTCAACTCCTCACCACCATCGACCAATCCACCACCCCTCCTCAAAAGGCACCTTTAGGCAGGCTTCACCACCTTAGCGAGGCTGCTTCACCCCCACCATCACGGTCACGTTATCAAAGAGTTGGGTTACCTCACCGGAAAACCCACCCGACAAAGCTGGAAAAGATGGTCAAGAAGGGCGCCCCTATTGTCCCTGACGCCTGGGAAGATGACAACTGGGAGTCTGCCGCCGACAAGCTTGACGCCCAACCCACAGAGGTGCAGCCTGAACTGCAGGTACCAATGACCAAGGCAGAGCGGCTCGCCCAGCATGCCGAGCAAAATCGAAAACTTTGGGAATCAGCGTATGTCTCTTCTCGCCCCGAGTATTCTTCTTCTAAGCTCAACACACTGCCCTGTCTTCTACCTATTCCACATACCCCCAATGGCGATGATCGTCACAAAAAAAAAAAAAAGGCAAAGCAGCTAACATGGGCTTCGAACCCCCCTCAACAGCGACTCCCCCACGCCCACACCAATGACCTTCCTCGAAGCCCAACCCTCGGTACCCCTGGCCACGGGCTTCAAACCTCAGGTCAAAGTCCTGAGCCGAAAACCCGCGCCCCGAACAATTGCCCGGCGCGACCCCGTCACCGGCCTCCTCTCACACCTCTCCCTCGCCGACGACGACGCTGACGACCAGCACGCCGAGAAGAAGCCGCAGCTGACGCCCGAGGAGATCCGCGCCAAGCAGCAGCGCGAGCTCGAGGAGAAGCAGCGGCGGTACGAGGAGGCGCGCGCCAAGATCTTTGGCGAGTCGAACCCTTCCTCTGGCGCCTCGAGCCCGAGTGGGACCGTCACACCACCTAGAGGGGGAGGAGGAGGAGGCGCCGAGAACGAAAGAGGGGGAGGACGCGGCCGTGGAAGGGGACGCGGTCGTGGCGGCGGCGGTGGTGGATACCGAGGGAACTCGAACCGACAAGATGACCTACGACGACCTGGCAGCAGCAGATCCGATGCCGCTCGCACCGAGAGCGGCCGCGAGCTTTACGACCCCGGATACGCGCCCCGAGGCGGCTTCGGGATGCAGAAGCGCGGAGGAGGCGACGGCTCTAACCCATACAATACGCATTCTGGCCGGTCTACCCCGAGAGAAGTCGAGGACCAGCCCAAGCAGGCCATTCGAGCTCCACGCGGACCGGATGGGACTGGAAGAGGTGGATTCGGCTTCGCCAAGCGAGGCACAAAGGAAGGATGAAATTATTAACTGTGCTAATTTTGCCTTCCCTTTTCCAAAAGAGAAACAAGCAAAAAGAGAAAACTACCAGCCTCCACCAATCTTGCCCGCCAGCTGAACGACGCGCTCCGTGTCGCTAGCCTTGTCCTTGCCCACGTCGCTGACCACCTCGCGATACGTGGTCAGGGCCAGTCTGCTCAAGTCTATACCAGTACTATCCGCCCAATGCGCCAGGGTACCTCGAATATAAGAAGGCGAAATTCCGTCAACAAGGTCGTCCGCTCGCAGATCGTCACCATTTTGAGCAACACCATTCTCCTCGCCGTCAGAGTCCTCTGCTGAAAAGTAGGCTTCGTCGACCTCGGCCAGGAAGTCCTTCTGCTCGAGCGGGCCCGGCTTGGTCTCGTAGCCCTTGCGCTCGACAATGATAGGGTCGTCGACCTTGATCTGCCCGCCGCCGTTGGTGCAGCCGCCGGGGCACGCCATGACCTCGACGTAGGCATACTCGAGCCCGGCTGACTTTCCCGTGGGTCTCCTAACGGCGCCAAACGCCTTGCCGCCGGGCATGCGGGACGGCCGCGCTGGCTTCAGCTTACGGACCAGATTCTGGATGTTGCGGAAGCCGTAGTACCGCGCAGCCTTGAATATAGGGTCGCCCGTGGCGGAGGCGACGACGAACTCCACAACATCGGCGTTGCGGCCGCGGATGACTTGGATCTGGGAGTTGGGGTGCTTGGAAGCCACAGTCTGGAGGGTGAAGTAGAGGTTGCCGCCAGAGGAGCCAGCAGCCACAGACGAGCGGTGGGCTCCGTGGACCGGGAAGAGGAACTTTTCTAGCCTCGTGTCCGGGAACGGCGTACGTTGGTAGGAACCGGCGGATGGCTTGTCCCGTGGTAGATTAAAGAAACTGTAACCCCTTGACTCGGCCAGCATGAGAACCTCTTTACTCGTGATAACGCAGTCCACGTCGCGGACGCCTCTGCCGGGCTTCCCGTCCCCGTCGGGGCCCCACACGGAATCTGTGAGCTCCTCGCGACTGGCCTCGAGCTTCTTGTCGAAGCACGGCATGACGGCCAGGTGCCAGATCCTGCTGGGAGGGATCCCGAGCTTCTTGCTCAACGTCGTCTTGAGGAGGGTGCCCATGAGCGCCTGGGGCGATTTCACGCGCGACAGGTGCGGGAGGACGTAAGGGTGCGTCTTTTCGGCGTAGCATACCCACCCAGGACACGAGGATGTCAGGATCGGCTTGGTCGCGGGTGTTGCCGCGGACGGCGATGGCGACGGCGAAGCGCTATTGCCACCACCACCACCACCGCCCAAGACCTCGTCCGCCCCAAGAACAAGGCACGCCTCGCGCGCGACATTGGTATCCAACACCCACGTGAATCCGTTCCCGTGCTTCCCACCGCTCGCGAGCCCCGCGTCGCCGCTGAAGAGCGCTTCGAGCATATACCCAGCCTGCCGCTCCGTCGTGCCGTGCCCCGCAGCGGCAGCGAGACTCGCCCTCGTCTGAGGCGAGACGCTGGCGACGAAGAGCATCCTGCTCTCGTCTTCTAGCCCTTCGACGTGGAACTGGCCCGTGGCTGGGTCCGGGCCGACGATGCGGAGGGAGGGCCCGAAGTCGAGGGTGTTGAGGACCTCTGTGTGGGATTGCATGCTCACGAGGACGGCTTCGGCGGAGGTGACGCAGCCTGAGCAGGCGAGGCAGTCGGTTAGGGAGATTTCTGCGGGGGGCGCATTGCTGGCGGCGGTGTTGGAGTTTGGTTGGCCGTCGAGAATGACTTCGTGTTCGAGGGAGGCGTCGAGGGTGGGAGGAGGGGGCGGGGCGGAGGGGAGGGTCTCGATTGGTTTTATGCAGGCTACGCCTGGACTTATGAAGTCGTTTAGGTCGTCTGCGGAGAGGATTGCGCTCATCTTGGAGAAGGGGTTTTCGTGAGTTTGTCGTGAGGCGTAGAGGTGTTGTGGGAGGGAGGGCGGGAGGAGAGGTGGGATGTTGAAGATGGCGGGGCAATGCGCGGATGCGATGCGATGCAAAAAGTCGATGATAAAGCAGTGTGAGTCGTAACGTCAGGTAGCGGGGTGTAAGAGAGATGCGAGGACACAAGCCAAAGCCACACAAGAGGTGAAAGATAGGAACGCTGTGTTATTTCTGTACGAGTGGTAGCCCCCCTTGTATTCCGCGAGGCCGGAGATGCGCAAACGAGTGGTCGGTAGGAATTAATCGTTGATTGCAAATCCATCCCCCACCACTGGGTTTTTTTTCGCAGAGTCAACAGTCAACGTCCCCCGTCGCTGACAGTGCAGGCGCACCTAGGCTTTGCGAAATCGGCATCCACTCAGTGGCGGACTGGGAAAAGTGGGCGCTTCCCTCCCGCGGCATCGGCCTCTGACGACTTGAGGCCAAATGGATTACAGGGCTCAAGTGGGCGACAAAACAGTATGCCAGCCAGGACATGACTTACATCTGCCCTCACGTGTCTCATCAAACCTCTCATACATATGATTAAAGAAACACGTCGAGGGTAAAGAATAGGAAAGATGTTGATAGTAAGAGCGATGATTATAGTAACAGGAACAGCAGCCTAAGGTAGGGTATAAGGTATGAGCGGCACGCACTACCTATTGTGTCACTCACTTGCCCTGGAGGTCGAATGGCTTACAGGGGGTCATTGCAGCTAGCCGACGCAGGCCGTGGGACGCGGTGCCGGGGGCCCGTCCAATGACGTCGGCTCGTCATACCTCTCTCTGTCCCTGGGCCTTGAAGTCATCCCACGCGCAAAGGCAAAGCTCCACGAAGCTTCATTATCACCGCAACACAAGCTCTCAAAGCTGTGATTCGTAACCTCCAAACCCGTCAATTCCACCCAGATTACAGCTCTTAGAAGGAAAAAAAAAGAGGAGACTCGAATCCTGCTCATCACATCAACCTCAATGGACGTATGGCATCTTCCACCCCTCATCCTCATCTCACAGAACCTCCCACTGATATCTTGCTCTTCGACGACCAACAGGCGATATCGACCTTTAGTTTCGGTAACCTGGGCTGGCTCGCGACCCAGGCCGTTCCGCTCATCATATGGCCGCGCTTCATCACCAACCTCCTCCGTCCCGATGACTACCAGTATGCCGCAGGCTGTAAGTCTCCCCTGTCAACCCTTCCATCCAACTTCGTGGTGAGCCTCCAAGAGTCGACTGACTGACTGACTGACTATAACCACCAGCTCTGGAAGACTACTTCGCCCGCTCCCTAGGCTTCGCCCTCCTAACCCTAGGCCTCCTCGTCGTAACCCTCTCAGGAGCAGTACCCCTCGCATCAGAGGACCTAAGTAAGTGTTCCCTCCCTCCCTCCCCTTCTCCCTCCCTCCCCTTCTCCCCTTCTCCCCTTCTTCCTTTCTTGCTCGCATAGCTTTCACCATAGCTCACACAGTGACCTCCCAAACAGCCCCCGCAGGAACAGTCTCCCCCTACGCAAACGCAGCTCTCATACTCTCCTCCATCCACCACGCCTCGGCCGGCTTCTACTGCTACAGCAGATGGCTGCGAACAGGCCAGACGGCCTTCGCCCTCGGCTGCCTTGGCAGCGCCCTCCTCGCCGTCTCGGGGCTGTGGTGCCTCATGTTCGCCGGCGACAAGTCGCGACGCAGCAAGAAGCATGGCTACGACAAGGACACAAGCTCGTTTCCCTTTAAGAACACAGAGTCGTACCGATCCAAGAAGAAGGGTTTGTAAGAAGGGGAACGAAAAGGGAGGGGGGAAGAGAGAAAGAGAATGCAAGCTGGTTTGCAGACCATGAGGATTTGTCAGTCAACCGATTGGATGCTGGCGAAATGGCACTGCTTATATATACTTGATGAAGCTTACAGGAGCTTTGGCTGTCACCCTGCGGCTAAGGTGATACAAAAGAAATTCACACTTCATACTACATGCCGTTCTAAAGCACCTTTGTGAGATAGCGTGTTCGGAATCATGTCCAAGGCTAAACAGTCAAAGAAAACGAGATTGAGTAAAGCAGTCGTATACTGCTTTTTCGAATGCAAGTTGAAACCCACTGCTTACTGTACATATACTCCGTACGCCTGTTTCCTTGCCCGTCTTCCACATGACTCCCGTAATGCACCACAACTAGAGACGTCAATTTGCGCTCTCCATGCTCCCTGCTCCCTGCTTCTGGGGGGGATGCTGTTGTAGCCCCCGTTTCACATCCTCTTGCCAGACGCCTGCTTCCGTTTCTTGTTTCCTCCAGTCCCATGACAGCCTTGACGAGAGCAAGCGCCATTTTGCTTCCCGCCTCTTCCGCTGTCTGTTCTTTTTGAGAGTCGGCGTTGGCTCACATAACTTGTCGATTCCTGTCGATACCTCGGCTGCCTCGGCCGCTTCAGGCGCGCAACACTCATCTACTTTTTCGGGTACGTCGTGATGAGTTAATAAAAGGCATCGATCAGCCGCAATAGATGCAAAGAACCAGAGGTTCGCCGATTCCCAAGGGGACTCCCTCGAATATAGCGAATTCGCCGGCCTAGTTCACTCTGTCCAACTAGAACTCGACGTTTTCGTTCCATGTAACCCGGCGATGACACTAACTCACTTCGGCAACTTCGGTGGTGTTGGCTCCGTTTGCCAGAGTTGCTTCGGCCTTGGGAGTTTCCTGGGACTCTGCGTCTTCTCCGTTGGTGGCTGTTTGGGGACCTTCTTGGCTCTCCAGCACGCCAGAAAGCTGGACGTCTGCTGTGCCAGAAAGGACTGCCTGCCTGCGTTCGTGCCAGTCGACTTCGCTCTTCACAACCTGGGAGAAGAGAACCTCCTTCTCGCGCCAAAGGTCCTTGTACTGCTTCTCCCAGTACTTGACCTCTTCCGTCAGCTTGACCGACTCCTCTTGCGCCCACTTGACTTGGAATCTGCAAAGCTTGTATAGCCTCTCGAGGGGTATCTTGAGCTCTTCGGGAGTAAAGCCTTGATCTTTAGTCAAGGGAGTAAACAGGTCGGCAGAAAGCTCATCGTCGTCAGCCCCATCATCGATGGCATCATCGTGTCCCGCAGCGTGTGACTGAGGCGTCTTGATGATGATCTTGAGCTTTCCCTTTCCTGTAGGGCCCGCTTGCATGGACTTGGGAACAGGATCGGAGGGACGCAAAGCCTCTGTCTCGTGGACGGTCCGCATGTGCTTGGCGAGAGCATCTGATCTCGTGAATGACCTGTCGCATTCTGTGTCCTCAGTCAGCCAATGTGCCCTGAGGCTCTGCAAAGAACAATCACAAACCTGGTAGATAACAGTAGAAAGGCTTCTCCCTGGTATGGCTACGCATATGGGCTTTCAAGGCATAACCGCTAGCGTGCCCCATGCTCTTTCTACTGCAACCAGTCCATTCGCACGTGTACTTCTTCTGCCGGCTTTCGATGTGATCGCTGTGAATGTGCTCCACCAACTTGTCCATGTTGCCAAAATCACCCGCGTCGCAGCCTTCCCAGGCACACGAGGTCACCTGCTCCTGGAAGTCTTCCTCGTCTAGTTTCGCATTAATTGGAGAGCTGGGAATGTCGCCAGACGTGTCCGAAGACACGTCCGACATGCCCTCCAACGGGTCCGGCTCGGGTACAGCTTCTGGTTCGGGTTCCGCGACCACCGCGGGAGACGTTGTCGAGGCTGCGCCAAGCTTCTGGCGCTTCGAGGGACGAAGAAGCGATTCATCCTCGTAATCGTGGACCTCCTCTTCCTCGGAGGTATCGTTGTGGTCCGAGGTGAGGGGTGAATCGGGTGGTGTTGAGTCTCCGCGAGCCATGTTGAGCCGTTGAATGATGGAAACCTGGCACTTTGAAAGATGCAGCAATGAATGGATGGCTGTGGGTTGTTCGGTGATCGAGTGTAATAATTATCGTGGCGAGAGGAAAAGAGATGGGAGGTCGAAATGAGAAAAGCTGAGCTATGCGTTGCTGTCGAAGATGTGATGATGAATTAATTGGGAGGAATCAGTTGGATGCAGGCCAATCGCTAGAAAAATCACACTGGCCTCGTTCCTGACAACTTTAATGATGTTTGCGCCTGGGCTCAATCCGCAGGGTGTCGCGACGAGCAGCGCGGCTCACGGAGCTCACCCTGTGGGTCCACTTACCTTAGCAAGCCAAACCAACTGTGCCAGGTGTCAGGGGCAACCTCCATCACTAAACAGTGGACGCCAGCTGTCAGCATGAAATGACGGCTTTTACCCCCTGGCCAATCGGTGCCTGGCACCCAGTGGCACACCAGGCACGCATGCCACACAGGCACCCACCCGGGCTGGCCCCCTGCAATTGTGACTCGGGGGGTCATGTCGAAAACAAAATAAAGTGACTTTGTTTAACCCCTCCCCCACCATAAACATCCCCGACAGACACTCATTTTGCGCATTCGCTGCCACCTTGCTCCCAGCTTTTTTCAACACTCCTTGATTATCAACAAATTCCATCATGGCGACCACGCGCAAGCTGTTCTCTCTTGAGGGAAAGGGCCTCAAGCTCGATACTGGTGCCGACCTCGAGCCCCACATCGCCGAGTTGCGCTCGACCGATGTCGAGGAGGTCAGGTTCCTGGGAAACACCCTGGGAGTCGGTGCTTGCAAGCTCCTTGGTGAGGTCCTGGCCACCAAGAAGAACCTCCAGGTAGGCGGATGAGGGTCTCCAACACACGTATAACCATCTACTGACCAAAAGTGAACTAGTCCGCCGACCTCTCCGACATCTTCACCGGCCGTCTCCTGAGCGAAATCCCCGAGGCCCTGTCCTCCCTCCTCACTTCCATTCTCAACCTTCCTAAGCTCACGACGATCAACTTGAACGACAATGCCTTTGGTATCAACACTCAGGCCCCGGTCGTCGCTTTCCTGGCTGCCCACGTGCCCCTCCAGCACCTTTACCTAAACAACAACGGTCTCGGCCCCCATGCTGGTATTCTGGTGGCGGATGCGCTTTCTGAGCTGCACGCCAAGAAGGAGGCGGCGAGAAAGGAAGGAAAGGAGGTTCCGTACCTGGAGACTGTCATTTGCGGTCGCAACCGTTTGGAGAACGGCAGTATGCAGGCCTGGGCCAAGGCCTACAGCCTTCACAACAAGATCAAGGAGATCAGGATGATCCAGAACGGCATTCGCCAGGAGGGTATCAGCCACCTTATTAGCGAGGGTTTGAACACTGCGACCGAACTGCGCATCCTCGATCTTCAGGATAACACCTTCACCATCAACGGTGCCAAGGCCCTCGCCGGTGTGCTTCCCAACTTGACGAACCTGCAAGAGCTCGGCCTCAACGATGCCTACCTCACGCCCAAGGGCACCAAGGCTGTCGCCAAGTCTCTTGCTAAGGGAAAGCAGGACAAGTTGGAGATCCTTCGCTTGGCTTTCAACGATATTACCCCCACGGCACTGGAGAGTATCGCCAGCGTCGTCACCAAGTCTCTGCCTGCGTTGAAGAAGGTTGAGCTGAACGGCAACAAGGTTGAGGAGGAGGATTCCTCCATCATCTCCATCCGCGAATTCCTCGAGGACCGCAAGGAGAAGATTGGTGGCGATATTGTTGACGAGGACGCCTGGGGACTCGACAGCCTGAGCGATCTCGAGGGAGAGGACTCTGACGAGGAGGAAGAAGAGGAATCCGAGGAAGAGGAGTTGGATGCCGAGAAGGAGGCCGAGATCCTCACCAAGGAGGCCGAGGAGGCCCAAGAGGAGCCCACGGTCCAGCTCAAGGACAAGGAGGTGGACGATCTGGCGCAGAAGCTGGCCAAGACGGAGATTTAAGAGATGTATGGATCGTTTTCTTTGGTTTATAGGTTTAGATGATGGAACGCAAGAGGAATGCCCCCCCATATACAGGAGTGAGGAGACAGAGACGATACCCCCCCAAAATTACACTTCATCCCAAGCAGTCCTTGTCGTTGCTACTACATGCATAAGTTTTTTAATCAGAAGGAGTTGGACTACGTACGGATGCAAGAAATTGACATCATTCCCCGGGTGTTGAGGCCTGCCGTGATACAAGTGGCATGTCGTAGGCAGTATCCGTCACTCCACAATCACCCCACGAAGCCGGCATCCACGGGGATGCCAAATCACAAGAACAATGAGACGGAATCGCGTGAGCTTGGATCGTAGTATATAGTAGACAAAATACTGTAGTATCCTGCCGGACTTTGCAGCTAGGGTAATAAAACAAATCCACAAACAACTCAAGAACTTCAAGACTCATACACATAAGCACACAAAGGAATTCAACCTACCCATCCAAAGCCAGTCACCATGGACTATCTCTTCAAAACCACAGACTCCGTCATTGAGATACTCTGGGACGTCGCGCTAGCATTCTTCATTGTCCGCATCGCATTGACGTACTTCTTCTTCACATTTGCAACTAGCACGCTGCTCTCGTGGATCGTTAATACATACCGCCAATACTTCCTACGGCTGCCCCTCGTCTCCGACCAGCAGCAGCAGCAGCAGCAGCACATCACACCCTCACAAACGCAGCTTCCCACCCTGGTGGTTCCGCTTATCCAAACCGTCGTGGGCCTCATCGTGGCGCGGTACGTCGTGTTAGTCTACGACGTGCCGCGCGTGGCGTGGTTCCGGCTCGCCATCGGGGTTCTGGCGGCGGCGTTCCTGGCCGGCGTGGAGGCGGTGCTCGGGGTGGTTGTGTATGCGTTTTCGCAGGGAGGAGGAGGAGGAGGAGGAGGAGGAGGAGGAGGAGGAGTAGGAGGGTGCGGAGGGCTCAGCGGGATCTGGGAGGAGATGGATGGGTGGTGGTGGGTGTCGGTCGCGGCGGTGCTTGGCGGGTTGGGTGTTTTTGCGGTGATGCCGGCGGCGTTGATGTGGTTTGAGAGGGCCGAGAGGACTCGGGCTGCTGCTGCTGAAAGGGCTGAGGGGGGAAGGGGGAAGATGGGGATGCAGGGGCTTGATGGCAAGGGAGCTTAAAGACCCTGGGGAAGGGAGGTCGAATTCGGGCGCTGTTGGAAACTTGGAGAGCCTATGGGGCATCGAAAACCGGGATGCCCACCGTTATGGATTGTGTTCACAATGTTAAGAAAGGGAGTTTATTGTTTTACGTTGTGGAAAGCGAGACAAGAGCTGAATGGAGAATCATCAGGGGAAAGGGGTCTTTGTTGGATTTGCTGGAGTCTTTGGTGGCCCTGCGTGTAAGTTGAGTCTTCAGTCTTGAAGATATTCATGAGGGGGAGGCATTGTGGTTGGCTCGTGCGACGTTGATGTTGAAATTACTCTGTACGAAGTACTCTAAGTTGATTACCTTGCTTCGTCCTTGAGGTCGTTGTTGCTGAGATGGTAGGACCAGACTATTGAATACCTGATTCTCTTCACTCGATTGAAACCTAGACAAGAAGAAGTCGGGGCATGTCAGCCGAGACATTGTTCTCAGGGGCGTCGCAGCGTGTGAGCTGTCAGCCATGTATTGGCGTGTAAGCCAGGGCGGGTAGACTTTTTTTTTGCTGGCCTCTGGAATGTTACGACTTGCCCTGGTACCTTTGAAAAAGTCTACACCCTCGTGGCGTTTGCTTGCCCTTGAACCCTGTTCTGATTGAGTCTCTAAATGGCTATAACGGTGCTCTTGAAAGGTTCAATTTGTGAATGAAAGATCAAATCAGAATACAAATTTAATAGAACGGGTGATGGATCGATCTTGTCTAGACCTACAGTAATTGAGTTGGGATGGGATGACAGCTGTCAGCGGGCAAGGTACAACGGGCGCTCCCGCTGCGCTGCGCTGTGCTTTGTGAAAAATGGCAGGGTTTCCATTCTTCAGCGTGGCACTTACCCCCCCCCGGGAAAGCGGGGCACTTCCGATAACCCAAGGTCCAGGTACGGATACGTCTGCCGTCTGCACTTGTCCGACTACAGCCCCGATCTAACCTTGCAGCTCTCTCATCTTTTCTCGCATCACTTGAAGAACACTCAGTCTTTCGAGAAAGAGACACATGCTCATTCGAAGCGACTAGTGCTTACCAAAGGGGTTCACACCAAAGGATTCTGTCCAATGCTAAGAACTTCCTATTGGGCTGGGCGAATCTTTCAGCGACTCCAATCAAGCGCTTCTGCTGGCAGTTGTGTTCACTTTTGAAGTCTCATCAAAGCATCACCACCGAGGTCAAAGCTGAATTTGGGAGAAGGAAACGTTGCTCCATTCATATTCTCTCCTTCCTGTCTCCAATTAGATCAGTGAACCAAAAGTTGGTAACTTTCTTGATTTGTCTCTCCGGGAAACGTATGCCGAAAGTCTCATATTCCCTTTGTCTTTTTCTTTTCCAGCCCATGTTGCAGATGTTCCCTGGCTACGGCCCTGCCATGGGGGGATCCAGAACCCCGGGTTGGAGGTTCCCCATTCCTCCTCGTGGTAGTCGTTGGTCCCCGAGTTTACGGCTGCGATGTCAAGGGGGGGCTGTTCAACGGGACCACGCCATCCTCCACACCTCCATCACAGCCTCTCATTCCAATGACTCCAATACTGTTTTCTAGCATCACTTGGAACTTTAGAAGGGTCTTGGAGGTTGGGTGAAACTCACACCACCAGACTCTGTTCATTCCTCGCCATGAAGCATCCACGCCATGCCCCTCCGTCGTCGGACCCCCCTCTTTGAACAGTCGAAGGGGGACGGAGGGCTCAAGTACCACGACGAAACAAGAAACAATAAGAAGAGCCTCTCATCTTCGCACCAAACCGTTCTGACTTGCTCCTCCCTTTCCTACACTTCCCCCTGTCGATCAACAAGGTAGAAACCAGCCTTCTCCATTCACCGTGTGCTGAAGCTGTTTTGCCCATCATGATCGGATCAACGCTCCTCCTACCTCTCCTTGCCGCTCTGGCTTCCGTCGCCGGCGCGGTGCCAGTAAACGAGCGCCGCTCGGTACGCCCGACGTGCGGGAAGCCGGGGACGGTGGTGTCCACCACCCAAGTCACGATACCCACCTCCCAGGCGGCGGGGACGACGGCCGTGCCGACAAGTCCGCCCGCGGTGTCACTTCCTTCACCCTCGGGGACGGCCATCACCGTCTCCTCCTCCTTTCTCACTTCCTCTCGCCTTGCTTCCCCGACGACCTCGGCGGGGGTACCCGTCGTTTCCTCGTCAGTGAGAACATCGGCGGCGGCTTCTTCAGCTGCCGCTACCCCATCCTCCCTATCGACAGTACGGGTGTCCAGCACGGGCGTCGTGTCTCCGCCTGCCACCGGCACCGGCACCCCGGCATCGGGATACAGGAATGTCTTGTACTTTACAAATTGGTACGTTTTCATGGAATCCACCTACCTCTGGAGGAATCCAAGGTATCCCGTGCTAATTGTTTGCTTCAGGGGCGTCTACGGGGCGAACTATCAACCGGCAGACATTCCCGCAGACAAGGTGACGCACTTGCTCTATTCCTTTGCGGATATCCAGTCAGATGGAACAGTGTAAGTGCTTTCAAATCACTTAACTTGGAAGCAAAAACGCAAGGAACAAGTCAAGTTGACAAGAAGAAAACAGAGTCTCCTCCGACCCCTATTCAGACACGCAACGCAAGTACTCTGGCGACGACAACCAAGATGGCAACGCCTACGGCTGCGTCAAGCAGCTCTACGCCCTCAAGAAGCAGAACCGCCAGCTCAAGCTCGTCCTCTCCATCGGCGGCTGGACCTGGTCGAGCAAGTTCCCCGCCGTCGCCGCCTCGGACACGGCTCGTAAGCAATTTGCCTCCTCTGCGATCAAACTCATGATCGACTGGGGCTTTGACGGGTAAGAAGTACCGCACTCACAAACACTTGCATGCCTTTATCTGACGGAACCCCCTTTTTTGCAGCCTCGATATCGACTGGGAATACCCCGCCAGCGACACGGAAGCAACCAACTTTGTCGCCCTCCTCAAGGAAGTCCGCTCCCAACTCGACACCTACGCCGCGGCCAACGCAAACGGGTACCACTTCGCCCTCACCATCGCCTGCCCCGCGGGTCCCTCGCACTACCAGCAGATGAACCTCCGCGGCATGGACCCCTACGTCGACGCATGGCACCTTATGGCCTATGATTACGCGGGCTCCTGGGACACCACGACCGGCCACCAAGCCAACCTTTACCAGAACCCGTCCAACCCCACGGCGACCAAATTCGACACCCAGACCGCGCTGACGTACTACCTCTCCCAAGGCATCGCCTCCAACAAAATTGTCCTCGGTCTGCCGCTGTACGGCCGCTCTTTTGAGAACACGGCCAACGGCATCGGATTGCCCTACTCCGGCGTCGGCACGGGCTCCATCGAGCCGGGCGTGTGGCACTACAAGGTTCTCCCCAAGGCCGGCGCCGTTGAAATCTATGACTCGACGGCGGGTGCGCTGTACAGCTATGATAGTTCCACCAAGGAGCTCATCAGCTACGACAACCCCGCGAGCGCGGGCGTCAAGGCCCAGTATCTGCTCGACAATAAACTCGGCGGTGCCGTCTTCTGGGAAGCCGCTGGGGACCGCAAGGGCGAGGGGAGCCTGGTGGGTGTGTTGGCGAGCAAGATGGGCAAGCTGGATTCGAACCAGAATTTGTTGAGCTACCCCAACAGTCAATATGCCAACATTAAGAGCAATCTGGCGTAGATGGAGCCTTGTGTCGGTGGAAATTTGTGCTTTTTTGAAGTTTGTTTTGGGTCAGGGTATTAGAGGCGTTGGTATATGTTCTTTGCATTTCTTAACGGGAGATGACTTATAACGAAGTCTTGGGATATGGGCTTTCAGCGATGCATATGAGATACGGCCGAATGAAGCCAACGAGTTAGACGGCAGAATTCAAGTTCCACCGAGTTACCAAATAGTACTTTCTTTGTGATGATTGGTCGAACAGCCAGTTGACTGCTACATTGAAACTGACGAAAGTCACGGTTGAACAGCCACAGGATTCACATGGAAACTTACCAACCACTGATCACATACCAAGTGCTCCCTCAGAAACACGGGCGACAACTAAGTTGCTGAAACTAGTCAAAGACTTAGTGGCACTTTTGTAATGCAGCTCAACGGGCGCAAGAAGAAACAGGAGCGGAAGTATGCCGAAAGGCCGAGTATTACGGGGGTTTTATCATCGGACCCGAAAGCTCTGTTCGCAACTGCCGGCAGCCCTGGCTCGAGGCTCCAGTGCAAACGTCGAGTGGACTACCAACGCCGTGCGTTTTACGACGACTGCATGGCGATCGCCCGCGAGGAGCTTCCAGGGGCTTGGCTCAGCGCTTCGGCAGGAGCCGAGGACTGTATGAGTTTAGTGCTGACGGCAGGGGCGAATAATCGGTGATTTGGGGTCGACGGGTCGCTGTAAAGGGGTTAGTTGGGCCCCAAGGACCACCCACTGGCTCGATCCAATGGCCTAGACTTCGTCGTTGGTTCTCCATTCGAGCCTTGTAGGGTAGAAGTTTGAATAGACTTCTGTGCTCAGTTGGACTGTCGGACCGAGTTGCTGGCCTTTTCGTCCAACCAATTATCGAGGTCTTGGTCTGACATGGTGTTCCCGAGGGAAAGGCTCGTCCCACCAAGCAAAGACTTAGAGGTGGGAAGTGCGTCCTCGCCGATGGAGACCGGGGAGGATGCCGACGCTGGCCGATGGGCAATCAATCCTAGAACAGTCCGTGGAAAACTGCCGACCTGAAGTTGGGATGACGATGGTGATGGGTGGCCGTCTTCACAATAGAACTCGACTTCAGATGGTTTTGCGTTCTTCGGCGATGAGTCGCTGACAAATCGAGGCAGAGACGTTTAATTGGGAGTCGGAATACGAGTGTTCCTCGGCGATGGACTATCATGTTCTCCTCACGAATTGTGAGCCCACGGAGTGATTATAGCTGGCACATGTGCCGTGTCGTTGACTAGATGAGTCACACGGCCAGCGGCCGAGAAAAAGCGCACAAGAGTAGGTATGGCACCCTTGTCGGCGTACGAGGAGGGGGCAATTGGCGGTTGCTGAGGCAGCGGAGCATCCGAGGAGATCGGCAGAGGAGTCAATTATCATGTTTAGGCTACCGTGGATTCGTAGGCCTTATTGTTGTTTGTGTAACCGGTGCAGATGAGCATGGCTTCTGGGCGTAAGCGTTCGACATGAGGTTGTTGTCGTCTGGTTTGTTGGTGTTGTTCAAAGCCCAGAGCAGTGTGTAGTAAGTATCGGATCGGAGCAACGAGCTGGGGAATTGGGGGACTTGAGGTTGACGTCAATTAGTAGGAAAGGATTCCTATTGGAGGGTTACACTGCTACACGGGCTATTCATCAAGTGGGGTATTCTTTCTTTGACTCCAAGCCTCCAAGCCACCCCGCTTTCGTCATCAGCTCCCGGTTAGCTTGGGGAGGGTAGGTGCTGGACACTCAGGTGCCTCTCCGCCAGTTCCTGCTCTTGATTGAGACTGAGAGCATTATGGCAAAATTTGGCTCAGACTTCTTTCCATAATTTTTTTTTTGTGTGTGCGGACTGATGGAGACAATGATATTGCTTAGCGACTGCCTTTCTCTCCATGACTCGGACGCTTTGCAGATAAGCCAAGGTGCTGCGTACCTAAGTAAGGTACCTAGTGTCTTGTTCCATATCTCTTGCGTGTAAGCCGTTTATACGCAAGAAGAATAAGACCGATATTGATCCGGCCTAAGCCCAAGTCATTGGGCCGCGGCAAGCCGGTTAGAAGCATCGCGCATGAGTTTGCACTATTCCACACACCTAGCAAGCTTTCGCAGAATGACTCTTGCCTTGTGCTGAATCTCTAACATGAGCAACGTCAACCAAGGTTTCCAGACCAAAGACTGGGCGGTCGCTGCTGACGGCGGTCCACTATTAATTCCGTTAAGTCCGTCGCAGGTCCAGAATGCCATTTTGAGCCGCTAGTACTCTAAGTTATTCAGGGTTCCATCCCAGCCAAGAATTTGCTGGAGACTTCCGACACCGAGCCTGGGGACTGAGTTTATCCTTTATTGAGGTGCGCTTCGGGTTCCCTACTTGCTTATGTAGCATGTAGCCACGCAGCTCGGATAGAAGCATGTAAGAAGCATGTACCTAACGTCTTTGGACCTAGAACGTGTGGGCAGCAGGGAAGGAAGGAGGGAGGGAGGGAGGGGGGTGAACGCTATCCGAATTATCCATCGCCCAATCCTTTTTGGATGAGCTTGTATCCGAATAAATGTGAGATATGCGACTGTCGGCAACCCACCACATCTTGAGAGTTCAGGATTCGCCAGGTGTGCTGTGCCATCCTTGTCTGCGTTGCATCTTAGCGCCATTTGTGCAGGGTTAGCTATGAGTAGGCATCAACACACGCGTATGTAAGCCGTCCTGATCAGCAGAACCTCCAATGCGGCTACTTCGCGGGACGGGAGTGGTGAGGAGGAGGATGAAAAGAGGAGGGAGAGAAAGAAACACTGGTGGCGGGTCTCTTCCCTTCCCTTCACTACCTTATCCAGAGAAAGGTACCCCCTTACGTACCTATCCACCCCCTGCCTGTCGTTCGCTGATTATGCTGATGGCAGCCTGCGGGTGCTGTTCATGATTTTGTCGAATCTTTCGAGTGCGATAGTATCCGTAGCAATCTCAACTTTCCCCCTCCATCCTCTTTGCTTGACCTATGCTCGCTCACCCCGCAAGTCGCCCAACTGCTGCAGACGTTACACGGCAATCTCTTGACTTGGACTTCTCTCAATTCGTGGCTTGGTCATCATTCCATTTTGTTCCTTCGCGTAGAGTCTAGCACAGAGCAAAAGTACCTCCCAGTGGTGAGTGTTGACTTGCTTGGGCATTGTGTGGTCGCGGACCACTCGAATCCTTCCCTTGCCCCAACCCGATCCACCAAAAGCTGACGCCGCCGCCAAAGACGCGATCGCAACCTACCGACACTTTACCTTTCTTTCGCCATATTGTCGTTGCGCTGACTTGCGCTACCGCTTTCCGACACTTGCCACAAACATCTGCGGCATATCGAGTCTACCCTGCATTGCGCCCGCATCTTACTTTGGTGCCTCGACACCGACCCTATCTTGATACCCCTGCGCATTGCGGAACCTCCCACCGACTACCATCTCCAATTGCTCCCTACCTTGTATCCGTATACGGGTCGACCGATCTAAACTACGATTGCCATCGCCTGTCAGACTCTGTGGCAAGATTGCGCTTCGTCTCTGGCGCCTTTATCACACTGCGACACTGTCAGCAGCCTCGACATCTAGCTGCCTTGCACCCCTCGCCCTCTGCGAAGTGACGAGCTTTCCAAGCAGTCGCTGACCTTTGAGGCGAAACGACGGTCATTGGTCTTAAGCCACGGCTTCGCATTGCGACCAACGAGCTTCGAGTAGCGCACCTCTGAAGGCCGAACGGTCACATTACTTGCGCTTCATACACTTGGCCGGGCCTTGTTGAAGTACTCGGCAACTACACCAACCTGCCGAAACCGCTCCTCCAGGTTTAGGCTGCCGACGGTCTGGCCGTTGTCAACGTTTCAGTGGCTAAATCTGTACACTCGTCCTGAGTGTCTGACAGCCAGCTATCTAGTCGAGCCTTTTCTTCTTGCCTCGCCGTATAAGGGATCTTTCCCCACCGGTACCATCACTTGTTCCGAAGCGAAGAGGATACACCTGCGCGTTTTGTGCTAGATAGGACCTCGAGTCCGAAGCACGTTTTCATATCCGTGGAAGTCATCGCCAGAGGTCTTCGACGACGCATCTACCTGTTCCACGGATTCCGTTGCCAATATGACTCCCACACCACCGTCCACGACGCCCTCCTCGGGATCAGGTCGGTCACCCGAGGAGCAGTTTCGAGTTGTGAGGAAGAGGAACAGAGTACCTCTTAGTTGCTATCCGTGTCGGACTAGGAAGTGAGTGCACTGTAAATGCCTTTTTTCCAACCCAACTCGCTAACATGCTTCGCAGATTGTGAGAAGAACTCCACGACGCATCATACAAACGTCGACTGACCACTTTGTAGGAAATGTGACAGAGGTCACCCGTGCAGTAATTGTGTGAAGCGCGAGGGTGGTGACGCGTCCTCATGTTCATACGCAACTCCTGCCACTCGTAAAAAGAACCAAAGTCAAGGCTCTTCGAGCCCCGATGACATGCAGAATCGTATTGACCGTTTAGAAGGCCTAGTTTTGTCTTTGATGCACGGAGGTGCCACTATTGACCCTTCAACCGCAGCAGCAGCAGCTGCCGTGACAGCCGCCTCGACAACCAAATCAAATACTGACAGCACGCCCACCTCGGCCAAAATTGATCCCGAGGACGAGACGCAAATGCGAGATGATGACGAAGACAGTGATCCCGACGGCGAGTTGGCGACATCTTTGGGCGTATTGAAGGTCGATTCAGACAAGGGCAAGTCAATGTACATTGGCCAGGAACATTGGCATACGATATTGGCGGATATATCCGAAGTGAAGACATATTTTGCGAATCACAAGAAGGATTTGGAAAAGAGCTATGAGAAGGTTATGATGTCAAAGCCGGCCAGCGCCAGAGAAGGACCTACGTTCTTGCTTGGAGCCGCGCCAGCAACCGAGATCGAATTGCGAGCGGAATTACCACCCAAATCGGCCGTCCTTGCGCTCTGTTCCAGATATTTCAACTCGATGGACAATGCGGTAAACATCATTCACGCACCTACTTTCCAGCAACAACTACGAGCCCATTGGCAAGACCCGTCAAAAACGCCCATCATGTGGCTTGGGCTGCTTTACTCGATCCTGTGTCTCGCCATGTTGAGCTACCACAAGGTGGGAGACGAGCCGCTGGAGTGGAAGGGGCGGACGCTGGATCTGGCGTCCGAATATCGGTTGCGCACCGTCCAGTGCTTGATTGCAGCCGATTACACAAAACCGGTGGAATACACCGTGGAGACGATGCTTCTATACGTGTTTGGAGAATACTCTTCAAGATGGGACGCTGATCTGGGGCTGTGGCTGATTGTGTCCTTGCTCACAAGAGTTGCGTTCAGGATGGGGTACCACCGCGACGCAAAGTGGTTCCCGACGATCACACCATTTCAAGCAGTGAGTTGCAGTGTCCTAGATATCTCTTGGCAAGCAAGTGTTAACGTGGTCTTTTAGGAAATGAGGCGACGTACTTGGGCATTGGTAAGGATGGCCGACGTGGTTTTCTCACACCAAGTGTCGCTGCCTTCCATGATCTACGGGCATGATTCTGACACTCAGTTGCCGAACAACATCTTTGACGAGGAATTTGGTCCCAACACCAAAGTTTTGCCTCCTTCACGGCCGAAGACGGAGCCCACTCCGATTGCGTACATGATTGCCAAATCCAAACTGTGCAACGAAATGGGCGACATTTTGCAGGCCACCAACCGTGTGGGCAGGCAACTACCGTACGACGAAATTCTGCGGTTCGATGCCCGACTTCGAGAGATCAACGATGAGATCCCGCCTCATCTCAAGGTTGCAGCCTTGGAAGGCTCACACGACCCGGTCACTTTGATCATTGCGAGGTTTAACATCAACGTGCTTTACCTCAAGATCCTCTGCCTGTTGCACAAGAAGTACGTGCCGCGGGCTCGGCAAAATCCCCGATACGCCTACTCGCGCAGAAGTGCAGTAGAGGCCGCTCTAGAGACGTTGAGGCATTTGGTCACTCTTGACCGAGAATCACAGCCAAGTGGCAGACTCCGATCTTTGAGGTGGTTCGTGAACTCGATTGCAACAAAGGACTTCCTTCTGCCGGCCATGTTGGTTGCGCTTGATCTTCACCACGACCGGGTTGCGGAAACGAGCGATGACCGCAGGGCGTCAGAGTCGGCAATGTTCTGGACCCCAGAGCAGCGAATGGAGATGCTTAGCAACCTCGAGCGTACCAAGGAAATCTGGCAGGGGCTTGCGGACGGGTCAATGGAGGCTTTCAAGGCCTCCAAGGTCCTGGATATCATTATGGAGAAGATTAAGGGCCCAAATCCCGAACCAGAGATGTTCAAAAACGAAGGATTCCCAGGTTTTGAGACAAACCCGGAAATGCAATCAGACCACAACGCCGCAATGACTTTGGGCATGCTCTCCGGTGGCATGACGCCAAACACGGCAGCTGCCCTTGAGAGCAGTATGCAGAGTACGAACTCGTTTAGCGGCATGGACTTTGGAGTATCGTTGCCCATGACGGGCCCAGGCATGACGCCAAACTTCCAGGGTGACATTGGCATGAACAATACGGGGTCTCCGTTCTCGATGTTTACAAATTTCGAGTCTGGCGGAGATTTCCCCGCCAACTTCGACTGGGTATGTTGCGAGTCCCGCCAATGACATGATGACATGGTGACTGACTGGCAATGGGTTAGAACGCATTCGAGACGTACACGCAGAACGCGAACTGGGCAGCCGACACTGGCTTTGGACAGATCTATCCGGGTCAATCCTCGCCAGAAACAGACGGGTCCGGGATGCCCTTTGGCAACGCCAACGGCGGCATGTCCGGCTAGGAATTTTACGACTCGAAGCGCGGGGAGAAGGATGATGAGGGAGTTAATGTGACGACGAGATCAATGACAGAATCAGGAAGGCCTGAGCGATTGGTTCGTTCAGGTGGACAAAATGGGAACTAGGCATACTCACCTCCGCGTTAGGCTCGGCATGGTAGGATAGAAAGATGATTCCAGATATTTGTGACGTTGGAAAATACAATACCCTGCTCCCTTTTTCACACGTGCTTATTGTTTCTACCTTGAAAGTCACACATGCCAGAGAGATGGGAGAGGTAGATCGTGGAGACTCCGCCTTGAGGTGACATTGGATGAACCGCGGGTGTGGTGGTTGGCCACATGGACGGGATGACAGGTCCAAAGCGGGCGTGGGGAGGTGCCGTCCGGCGTGGCATTCGGCGCCCATGCCGGCGGTATGCATAGAATTCGGTCCGTCCCTGACACTACTGTGCGACGGCTGAGGTGGGCGGAGGTTTGACGGAGGTGGTGGTGGTGAATGAGTGATGTCCTGCAGCTGCCAGCAGCAACTCTGTTTTCCTTCCCCCGCGCCGTGCCTTGCGTCAGTCCAAAACGTCAAAGTGAAGAGTGAATCCTGTGCCTGCAGCGTGCGCCGTGAAGGAACAATGCGGGGGGGGGGGGGGGGGGGGGGGATATTGGCTTGCGCGTAAGATGGCTATTGGTGGGGGATAAAGGCAGGAACACTTGCGCGGCGTTAGGAACAACGGCAACGTCCATGGGATCATTGAGTCGTTGGTCCCCCCCCCCCCCAAAAGCACGCGGCGACGCGCGAGCACTGTCCACTTGACGTTGCCGAGTCATGCCGCCGGGGCAGGTAATCTGTCCAGTATTTTTTTTTTCATCTGTAAATTGTGATTTAATGAAAGAGCAAAGTGATGGGCTTGCTTTCTTATTGCTCTTTTTAGTGCCGCTAGGCGCCGGGCGAAAGCGAGGTACGAACATTAGTGAGCATAGTAGCGCGGGAGGAGGTACAAAAATACAGAAAGAGAGAGACAGAGAGAGAGAGACCAGAAGTAAAGTTTACTATTTGGTATCAAGATCAGCATCGGCAGCAACTTCTTCGGTCTTGGCGAATCCCCATAAGCTTTCCATCTCATTTCTCGGCCATTGCTTAACTTTTTCTCTCTCGTTCTCTCTCTCTCTCTCCCAACCCAAATTGAACTCCGCCCTACCTCCTGTGTCCCATCTCGGACCTCTGACCCCCCTTCGCTTAAGGGCTTACAACCACAACGAGCAGAAGAAGACCCGCGGTCATTGACTTGGCCTTTTCGGACCTTGGCAACACCGATACACCACCGTTCATTCCCAGTCTCCAGGAGTCCAAAATACCCGTCGGTAGCGGCATCCCGGAGCGGTGAGTGATGGGATAACCCCGCTGATAGGGCCGATCGTGCCTACCCCAGTTAATACGACCCCCCCTTTCACAGCCTTCTTGAAGAAAAATCGAAAGAAGGAGGTGGGGGCGGGCGTCCGCTCAAGAGTCTCCACGGGACCTTGCCCTGTTGACCTTCTCCCGTTCCCCGTCCCGGGTCTTGGAATCTGCAAGAAGGAAGAGAGGCAGAGGGAAGAAGAACTCGTATTCTTTCTCTCTTCCTTTTGGTTAAAAAGTCGAGTTAGTTCCTGGTTCCTGGCAGGTTTTCTTTTTTTTTTTTTTTTTTTGGGGCGGGGAACTAGGACTAGACTTCATCTCAAGACTTCGCATCCATCTCTTCAAAATTCCGCCAACCATTATTTGGTTCATCACTATCTAGTTCTTGACCACCACCGCCCGCCTGGCACCGAGAGAGTCAGAATCCGAGGTATCACTATCCGTACGGATAGAATATAGCCTGATTGGCTTACCTCACATCGCGCCCCGGCCCCTGAGGACCCCGAAAAGAGCCGGAAATCGCCTGTTCTGTCAGCTCGGGGGTAAGTCACCTTACTCAATCTCTGCTGTAGCTCATCTCTTATAATCTGTTAAGCTTTCACAAGCCGGCCCAGCGCCCCGGTTTCTCGACGCACACCAGCAAGCCTTCAACGGCGGCTGAACCGCAAGTCTTCGCCTACCCTATCACAAAGCATCACTCTCTTTCCGCCGCCCTGTTCGCTCTGGGGGATCCCCCTGCCCAGATCCCGAGAGAAAGGCTTGAGAGCGCAGATGGGCATGGGGCCGACCGTCTAATCAATCTTGCACAAAAGTTCAGACTGAAGGCCGCCAAGAAGTCTATCCGAGTACTCGTTCCTGTTCTAAGCCCGTTTTGGGATTAAGGTTGGAGGCAAAAACGAACATATAAGTCACGACTTGGACGCCTTTCACGAAGTTTCACGCTTTCTTTTGCTGCTTAGACTTGTTCTGTACACTCATTTTTTGTTTGTTGTTTCGTCGCTTTTCTTTACTTTCTTTTTCCTGTTTAGTCTCTTTTCTTTCTTCGAATATTGGTCACTCTCTCTTTCGGCATTCCGGAAACCCGCGGAACGATGAAGGCTCCCACGACGTGGTCGATCCTGGCGGCCGCCGCCGCTCTGCACCAAGGCGCCGTCTCGGCACTGAGCGCGGCGGAATGGCGGTCCCAGACGATATACCAGGTCATGACGGACCGATTCGCGAGGACGGACGGGTCGACGACGGCTCGGTGCGAAATGTCGGAGCAGACGTACTGTGGTGGTTCGTGGTTGGGCCTTGCGCAGCAGTTGGATTACATTCAGGGTCTCGGTGCGACGGCCATCTGGATTTCGCCCTTTGTGAAGAATGTTCAGGGCAAATCCCGTGACGGGTGAGTGATTCCTTTTGCTTTGCAGTTATCATGAGTTGAAGGGGCACGGGATATGGTGTTATCATGAGAGTTCACGAGAAACCCAATCAGCGAGCACTTGATAAGAATGATGCCCATGAAAACAAACATCAACTAACACAACGCCAGCGAATCGTACCACGGCTACTGGGCGCAGGACATCTGGGAGGTCAACCCTCGCTTCGGCACCGCGGAGGATCTCATCTTCCTCGCCGATGCCATCCACGCTCGCGGCATGTACCTCATGGCCGACGTTGTCACGAACCACATGGCCTGGCTCGGTCCCGGCACCACGGTTGATTACTCCATCTACCGCCCCTTCTCCAACGCCTCGGCCTACCACACGCCGCCTTGCGTCATCGACTATTCCAACCAGGACTCGGTTGAGAGATGTTGGCAGGGAACTGACGCCGCTTCGTTGCCGGATCTTCGCACCGAGGACCCCCGCGTGCGGCAGGTTTTCAACGCCTGGATCAAGCGCGAGGTCCGTCGCTTCGGCTTCGATGGCCTGCGACTCGATAGCGCAAAGCACGTCGAGCCGTCCTTCTGGCCAGCTTTCGAGGCTTCAGCCGGTGTCGCCGCCTTTGGCGAGGTCTTCCACGGCGACCCAGTCTACGTGGCCCCGTACCAGGACGTCATGAGCGGTGTTATGAACTACCCCGTGTACTACTGGCTTACCCAGGCCTTCCAGTCGACGACGGGCAGCATCTGGAACCTCTCCAATGGCATCAAGACGCTCATCGCGACGGCGCGTGACCTGACGCTGTACGGGGGCTTTCTCGAGAACCACGACCAGCCTCGCTTCCTGAACCACACTTCGGACCGCACTCTCCTCAAGAATGCGCTGACCTTCAGCCTGCTCATGGACGGAATCCCCATCATCTACCAGGGTCTGGAGCAGGGGTTCAGCGGCGGCGAGACACCGTACAATCGCGAAGCGCTGTGGCAGACGGGGTTCAACACGCAGTCAGAGCTGTACCGCTGGATCTCCAAGTTCGTGTCCCTGCGCTCGACGTTGGCGGCGCTGGACGGCGGGTACCTCTTCTACAAGTCGCAGCCCATCCACACGGACGACCACACCATTGCCATGCGCAAGGGCTACGATGACGGGCAGGTTGTCAGCGTCTACTCCAACGTCGGCACGAACCAAACCTACAGCGTGTCTCTGGCCCAGGAAGACACGGGTTTCCGGCCTTGCAAGCTGATCCTCGAGGTCGTTCAGTGCCGACCCTACGTCACGGATGCGGCAGGCGTGCTGAAGGCGACGAGCGGGAGCGGAGAGCCCCTCGTGTTTGTTCCGGCAGACAAGATCATGGGGACGGGTATCTGCGCAGGTGGCATAGGCAAGCGTCCTCCTCCTCCCCCTCCCCCTCGTCGTCACAAGCCTTCTCCTCCACCTCCACCTCCCTCTGGGACATCCACTGCAACTGCTGCCCGCTATTCTACCACGCGTCTTGCTGTTGAGAGTACCGATTATAACTTAGATTTTATAGGACGTTTTAATAACATCACTTTGTCGCCTTGCCTGACATCCCAGCTATGATACGTGTTCCGAAATTCGAACTAAAAGAAACAGCAGACTTAACATGCGAAAAAAAAAGACGAAAACAACAAATCAAACGCCCGACCAAACAGCAACAAGTCTTATTTCACAACTCTCATTCGACAGCTTACTTTCCTAGGTACATTAGTGTGTAGTCATTTTGTGTATTCCTCTTCGACCTCCCCTCGCTTTTGGGTGTTGGACTTGTACTGTATCTGTATTTCGGTAGGCAAGCGACTGGGCAGGAAGCCTAGGGGGATTATTCACTTCTTTGCTCTAAAGGTTGGTAATCCAGGATGGCCGAGAACACACTCGAGGCATCCGTATACCCGCAAGACCACCTTTAGGCGTACATAGTTTGTGTGTCGATTTTTGCGACCCGAACATAACTTTACAGCAATGAACATAAGGAGGCTCTACACTTGTAGAGCCGCAATTTCGCTCAGTCACTTTGCCACTCAAACATCTTTATTGATGATACTTTTATTTCATACTTGTGATATGTTCATGTTGATTCATACCCCTATCCGATTATCCGATCCAAAGTGAAATGATATATACAAGAAGTTGGGAAATTTTTGAAGATGAAGAAGAACGATACAGAGTCCAGCTCCGGGTATCGATAACTTTTTATGCCACCCCGAAAGCACCCTTGGCCCTGGACCAGTACTCGACGCGGTCCTCGGTACCCGACGTGCCGATGCAGCCCATGTAGAGGGTAAACCCCTTCACGGTGCCAGCCGCGAGGTTCTCCTTGACGTCGTCGTCGCACTGCGTCGCGAGGAACCAGGCGGCCGAGCCCCAGGTATAGTCATCAGGCAGGACGAGGTCGAGGATTTGGTTCTTCTTGTCGTCGGTCAAGCTGTTGCCGTCCGTGACGCCGCCCGCAATCTCGGTCGCTTTGCTCGCGAGTTCCGGGATCGAGAGGGCGTACATGAGGTTATACCCCGCCATCTGGAGGTTGCGCGTGCCCTGGCCGGGGCGGCCTGGGGACGGGAAGTGGTTGCGGTTGTAGCGGAAGTCGCCCGTCTCGAAGGCCATGAGGGAGAGGACGGCGGCCATTTCGCCCTTTGAGTAGATGTTGTATTTTTGGAAGGCTTGGGGGAGGTAGGATGCTACGTGGGATGCTGTTGCGCATTCTTCTGGGAAGGAGGTTACGCCGTCGCACGAGGTTGATTTGGGGGCGGTTTGGGCGATGATGGAGGTTGCGTTGAGGGCGGTGTTGGCGTCGTCGGCGGCGCGGGGGGGTAGGATTGGTTTGGCGAGGGAGGCGGTTGCGAGGAGGGAGAGGGGGAGGAGGGTTGTGAGGATCATTTTGGGTTGGTTGGGATGGTGGTGTATGGTGTCGTTGGTGTAGTGTTTGGTGTTTGTGTGTAATCTTTTGATGTTTTGTGTGAGGCTTGGTTGTAAGTGGTGTAAGAGGAGTGACGGATCTTGTGTAAGGTCAAGAAGAGAAAGCGTTGGATGATGATGATCGTGAACCCTGATATAAGAAGCGAAAGGATGTTCTCGTTATGAGAGAGAGAGAGAGGAGGTCAAAACGAAACAAAGACAAAGACAGAGTACTGAGCCCCGGTGACTGCGGCTGCGAAGAAAACGATCGTAAGGTGGCAGAGTGAGTGACACAGTCAGACCAGACAAGACAAGCGAAAGACTGACGAGAGCAAGAACGGGAAGTCAGACGCAAGGAAGAGCGAGGTGTTTGTCTTTTTTTGGGAATCCCGGGAAGGAGGAAGAGGAACTAAAAGGATCAAATGAACTAGGTCAGAGAGTCTGGGGGACCGACCTGGGTTGAACAGCCCACCCCTGAGCACAGCATCTTTGACGGGCTCACTAGAAAAGGCCTGGGTCATGCGTTGGTGCCATGTAGAATTATTCTTCTTAGTACGAAAATGCAGGAACGATAGCCAGTGCCTTGCTTCGTTCGGAGTTCCCTTGATGCCACCCTTGATGGGGGAGAGAGAGAGAGAAGAGGTGATCTTCCCGTCGCCTCCGCGCGCTTGCGCCCAGTAAGATTTGCAGGTTTTCCTCTCTACATGGGATGGCCCTGTTCAAAAACACTACCGCTATCCGCATATTCGGCAGAAGGACATCTAAAGAAGTAAAGTTTTGAACAAGTTTGTGAGGGGGTTCCTGGGATAGGGGGGGGATGAAAGAAGGGACGGTCTTGGATATGCTCCTAGCCAGAGATCTTCGGCGAGGCCTCTGCGAGGTGGCCGTGGTGAAACGAAACAGGGGCCAAGCCTACCCCCGTCTTGCGCCGTTGACATGTCAAAAAGATGCTGCTGCGCCGTAGTGATTGGCTGAGGGGCTGCGGCTGATGGTGCGGAGCTCATGATGTTGCCTCCCCTCCTGCACCCCCTCCGCCCACCCCGTGCCCCCGGCTCGCAGGGAATTTAGAGGGGGCAATTGGGTGGTGGGATGGTGCCGTTGGTGCCGAAAGGGCGGCAGAGTGAAATGCCTGGCGAAGGCTGGTTGGTTGGTGTATGTTCCCTCGTGAGTCGTCCCGTCATATGTGGTGTAAGTCTTGTGGCTCATTTGGCGAACAGAACGGACTGGCGAAAGCAAGTTGCCGCGGTATCTGCACGCATTTCGAAACCTATGGCTGACTTTTCTTGCTTCTTGGGCGGGAACACTTTGCTGTCATCCTGTCTTTCACAGTCAGAGTCAGGGGCAGACCTAGAAGGATCCGGAGAGTCTTGATGAGGGCGGCTCGTGTACTCTGCACTGTTGCAGATAAACTGGCGCGAGAGATGATGATCCGTCTTGGTTCATGCGCCTCGGACGGCCAGCCTTAGAGGACTGGACTGGGGTGTGTCACTGTACTACCCGTACTGGCGGCCCTGGGGCGATGCATGCTGGGGGACCTTGAGATATACCAGGAATCAAGGTTAATTTTAGCAGAGAGCATGACAAAGACCTTGTGGAGTTCTTTTGTCCGTAATTCTGGACGTTTGATTGCGAAAGAAATGCACACAAATAACAATGGTAGCAGGAAATCTTTGAACTCTAGATATGGGTGCTGAGTGAGATGCTGAGCGAAGGATTCGAGTCCGATGAACTGCCCTGTTCAAAGCCCCTTCCTTGTCAACTGCAGCCACAATGGTTCCGCTTGGCTGCTTGACTAAGCAATTCCCCGGTACCCACTTGTTCCATGACAGATCGACCAATGAGAACGCGTCTCTGGCGTAGTGACCATCAGCGCCAAAAGTCATCGGCTCCGCTCCTCAGCCGCTGAAGCTCCGCGAGCGCGACATTCCAATCATTCGACCCTCCCCCTCGTCGCTACCAATACCAGCTTCGAACTCGACCGCGCCGCATCGAGTCAAACCACACGCACCCGCCGCGCGCAAGAAAAACACACAAACTCCGACGAAAGAAAAAACCATGGGCGAGAACCAAGCGAACGCCGCCAATACGGCGCAAGGGCCGGCTCCGACGATGCAAATGTATAGAGAGGAACAAGTTCGCCTGCGCCAGATGCTGGACAAGAGAGCGGTAATTGCTAGGAAGCTCGCCACGATCGAGGCCGACATTGAGCAAAAGGAGATGGCGTACCTCGACAGCACACCGAATGGCAATATCATTGCCGGCTTCGACAACTACATCAAGGGTTCCGGCGCGGCTGCGCAGAGGCGCAAGGCTGGCGCCACGGAGCAGAACCGCGTCTTTTCACGGAGTTCGGTGTCGTATCGTCCTGGCAGTGTACGTTCCTCTCTCTCTCTCTCTCTCTCTATCAGCTGATGGCACTCCAAGGACTGCTGCTGACATGACAATTTGTAGGAAGCCACGACACCTGGCTCGACTCCCGCCTCGCATGCACCGACTCCATTGTCGACGTCCTTCAAGGACGGCGGCGGCGGCGGCGGCTCCAACCACGCAACCCCGACGTCGGCGACGGCATCGAAATCCGGCAAGAAGAACAAGAAGCAGACCGAGGAGGACAGCGATCACGACTCCCAAGCGCCGAACAAGAAGCGCATCAACTTTGGCGCTGGCCGCAAGTGAGGAGCAACCTCGGTACGACAGGCCCTATCCCACTGGGTGGGATAGAGTTGGCACAGAATGATTTTACGAAATTTTTGTTGGGGCTTTTTTTTTTTCGCGTATGGCTGAGGCGATGCTTTCTGCGTCACAGTGGTCGCAATCTCAGTAGGCTCCCAAGCGGGAAGCCTTGCGATTGTGACGTTGGGGTCACGAGAGCTATCACTCAGCATCGCTTACTTTCAGACTTGCATATATATAGTGCCTAGGATACAAGTGTAGGAAGCTTGGTCTCGAAGGCTGAATTGTTGGTGGGAGTTGCGGAGTTCCGGAACCACGATACCCTAGAGGGCTTCCCAAAAGAAAACCTCATCCCAACCACCAAGTGTTGGGCAATACATTGTGGCCCATTGGCTCTTTTTTTGCATCAAAATCCATCTCATTGGCAGATTAGATCAGACCAGAATGCGATATGAATTACCTTAGGTAGAAGTGTCTGTGAGTGTGTTCTGGCCGAGGCTAAGGTCTACTCCGGGCACTTTTGCACCGAGACGTTGCAAAAGTTCGTCTCCACTCGGTACTTTTGCGCCGTTGGACCCTTGATGCTACGACGGAAGTAGAATCTGCTCTTGTCTTCGTATCTAGGCATGGAGACCACTTGGCAACCTGAGATTACCTAACTGCTCAAAGACGATTAAGACGCTCTCTTTTGGAACAGTTATAGGTACTGCGTAAGGTAGGAAACAGCTTCGCCTTTGATTTGAACCTTACTTTGATATTGTAGAGCAGTGGGCAGCCCTCTGTGGCCTGCATGTTGTCAAAGATTGGCTTCGAGAAGAATGCTACCGAGAGACAAGTACTGGAGAGGCTGGATTGTGGAGTGACGGGAACGTTACGAGGACCTCCAGAGAGTTGGTATGTATTGGTCACACTTTGTAGAGTTGACACCCTATTCAGAAGTTGCCCAAGTTTAAAGTAGACTTTTTGAGTTGCTTGCGATGCCTCCAAACGCTTCTCGAAAAGACCCTTGAAGCGACGTGATTTCCTTGCAGGCGCCTTGCATCATTATGTAGAAGCCGTCGCCTGATGAAGCTTCTTTAAAAAGGTACCAGACGCTTGGCGTCGCTTCCTCCCATCTCTGGGCAGCCCTTCGGAGCCGAAAGGACAAGCTCCAACGAGGGGCTTGAGGGGGGGAAGGGGGGGAGCCTGAGTCTGTGCAGCGCCTGCGCGGGGACTGAGAACCTTGTCGGCCCCAGTGTCTCTAACAGCCGTTGCTAGCCTGCCCATAGCTAGTGCGGGGCTCTTCAACCGAGCTTCCATGCCAGTGGAGGTCGGGTAGTCGATCCCCCGGTCGTCATGTCGCAATTGACACTGCACGTTGACCGACATACATGTACGACACCATTCCCAAGTCTACTCTGTGTCCTCTGCCACTGATTTCCCTTTGGCTCGTATCTTACCTTCAAGAACCGCCAGCACAGCGTGGTCCTCTAGCCACTCATGATGACGATTCAAGCCTCCAAGTTTACCCCAGAGGTTTTGCTCTCTGCCCCGCGCAGGTCTCCGGGCATTCCTAACCCATCTGGCACCAAAGCGCTCTATACTGTGAGTTGGCTGTAACTTTCGAGGAGTCCTTGACGTTGTAGTGTTGCCCTGGACTTTCGTAGCACTCAATTGAAGTTGTGGGCGCAAGCTGACGCAAGCTCAGGTCTCGACCTACTCATTCGAAAGCCACAGCAAGACTTCTCAAACGCGTGTTCTTGATGTCGAGAGCGGCCATTCAAGCCTCCTTTACGAGGAATCATCCTACAGTGACGTAACATGGATCTCAGACGAGGAGATCCTGATTCTGCGAAACGGTGACAAGGGGGCTACGACCCTTCTTCTGGGAGATGTTACGAAGCCGTCTACGTAGGTTTTGTCTTTGTCACCAGTCACGTTCGCCCTTAGCTAACACAGCCATCACAGAGTTACCGAAATCCGCCACTTCGAAGGCAGCTTGTCGAGCCTGAAAGCCAAGCGACTGTCCGACGATGAAGTCGCCATCGCCGTCGCCGTGTTGACAACCCCGGAGGGTGCCATGTACAACCCGGCAGCCGAGAAGAAGCAGTTGACAACGGGCAAGGTGTACTCGAGCCTGTTTGTAAGGCACTGGGATTCCTGGGTGTCCGAGAATCATAACTCCATCTGGTATGGTCTTCTGAAGAAGGACGACAAGTCGTATAAGCTGGAAGGTCAGGGTTTGACCAATGCCCTCGAGGGCTCACGGCTGGTGTCTCCAGTGCCCCCTTTTGGTGGCAGCGGCGACTTTGATATTGGGAAGCACGGCATTGTCTTTGTTGCGCGCGACCCCGAAATCTCACCGGCCATTTACACAAAAACAGACCTCTACTTCCTGCCTTTGAAGACCTTCACCGAGGACAAGCCGCCATTGCCTCAGATCGTCAAGACAAGCAAGCTCCGTGGTTACTCGGCGGCACCCGTGTTCTCCAGGGATGGCAAGAAGGTCGCCTTTACCCGTATGAAGAGCGATCAGTACGAGACTGACAAGCCGAGGCTGCTACTCGTTCCCGATGTCTTCGACCTGGCGAGCGTACAAGAGTTTTACCAGACAGACGACGGCGCCGGTGGTTGGGACGCGCGACCCGAATGGATCACCTGGAGCAAGGACGATTCCGAGCTCTACGTATCGGCGGAAGAGCACGGCCGTGCTAAGCTCTGGAAACTGCCAGCGACACCACACGAGGCGAAAGACCTTCCCGCAGCAATCTACGAGGAAGGCTCTGTCGTTGAGGCGAAGCTGTTGGGAGATGGAGAGAAGCTCTTCATTAGCACGTCATCCCGAGTCGAGAACTCGGCCTATTCCGTCCTGGACCCCGTTAGTCAGAAGACTGATCTCGTTTCTTCGAGCTCCAAGCACGGAAAGTCGTTCGGTCTGTCCAAGTCTCAATGTGACGAGTTCTGGTACAAGGGAGCTGAGGGATACGACGTTCACGCACTGGTGGTGAAGCCATCCAACTTTGACGAGAACAAAAAGTACCCGCTCGCTTTCCTCATCCACGGAGGCCCCCAAGCCGCGTGGATGGATAGCTGGAGCACGCGATGGAATCCTGCCATCTTTGCGGAACAGGGTTATATCGCAGTCATGCCTAACCCCACGGGAAGCACCGGTTACGGACAGCAGCACACCGACAATATCCAGAATGAGTGGGGTGGTCGTCCGTACGTGGACTTGGTGAAGTGCTTCGACCACATTGAGAAGAACATTCCGTACATTGATTGTGGCAATGCTGTTGCGTTGGGTGCTTCGTATGGAGGCTATATGATCAGTGAGTTGAGACAGCCTTTAATGGCATTTTGGTAGATGCTAATTCATCGCAGACTGGATCCAGGGCCACGAGCTCGGAAGAAAGTTCAAGGCTTTGGTCTGCCACGATGGCGTGTTTTCAACGCTCAACCAGTGGTCAACCGAAGAACTCTTCTTTCCTCTGCATGACTTTGGCGGTCCTCTTTGGGAGAACCGAGAGGGTTACGAGAAGTGGGATCCTGCCCATCACCTTGACCAGTGGTCGACACCTCAACTGGTCATTCACAACGAGCTAGACTACAGACTTCCCATTTCTGAGGGTCTCGCCATGTTCAATGTTCTGCAGGCGCGCGGTGTACCTAGCAAGCTGTTGATGTTCCCCGACGAGAACCATGTAAGTGCTGAGCTCCAGGTGACGTTTGTTAATTACCTCGGTTACTAACTTGTGAACAGTGGGTTCTGAAGCCTGAAAACTCTCTTGTCTGGCACAGAGAGGTTCTGGGATGGATCAATAAGTACACGGGCCTCGACAAGTCAGAAGATGTAGCTATTAGGCAGTAGTAGCAAAGCCTGAGGGGGGAATGTCAAGCTAGCAAAACGTTGTGATTCGTGGATCGTAGCGGTACTCGAAAAGTTGATTTGCCACTTTTGATCAAAGAGAAAAAGGAGCGCAGTTTTTCTGCCACCTTGCGTGCGGCGTGCCTAAAGCACCTTGCTCAAGCATATGCGGATCGTGCAACTGTGAAGATGAAGTTATCCAATGTCCAAGGTAGGTACCTCGATTGTATGTGCCTGCCTTACGGGTAAATGTACAGTATCCACACTGTCAGGGAAGCTCTCCCCAGCGGTTCCCCATGCAGGCAGGAGCTCCCACCTCACCTTCTTCCCACCTTTAGGTTCCGTCCACTACTGGTCCGAGCTCCTTCCATTTCACCAAGGCTGAAATTTCGCGAACTTGGACTCTCCTCACCCACTCCTCAACCAACGAACGACCTACATATGGGGATTGACGTGACCGACGGCTTTCCTCTACCCCATATATCCACTCAGCGACGACTTGCGACCTGAGAAATACGCGTCACAACATCATGCGAAGCTCCTTGAACCTACCACAGAACCGACGGTGACAGACGAAGTCGCAAACCTACGAGCCCAGCCACAGCAACCCGCGATTTCCTCTCGAGCCCGCTATTACCCTTAATTATTGGCCTGACATAATCCTCTAAGCTCTACGATACTCCCGAGGGCGAAAAAAATCAAAATCCGAAATACCCAATTACACGAAAGACAAACGAAAAAGAAGAAAAAAATGACACCCCCACCAGTCCTCTTCCACGCCCTCCTCCGCCCCGCTGTCCTTCAGATCCTGCGCGCGACAGGGTACCACGCCGCGCGACCCGTCGTTCTCGACGCCGTCACGGAGCTCGCGGCGCGCTACATGTTCGCCCTCTGCCAGGCGACGGCGCGGCACGCGGGCGACAACGACTCGCAAGGTGAAGCTGGCCCGGGCATTGTGGATGTACGCATGGCGCTGCAGGAGCTGGGTGCCGTGCCCCCGGACGACATGCTCGCCGAGGGGAGAGGTGCGATATTGGGCGAGATTCTGGACTCGCTGGATGAGACAGGAAGGAGCGAGACAGGTGCAGAGCTTGCGGCTGCGGCTGGGGCTGTGCCGGACGACGAGGGAGACTTGGCCATGGCGACGCCGATGGCGGTTGCTGAGAGGGGACGCGAGAGAGAGAGGGTCGTTGAGGATACGAGAGGCGTGGACGAGTTCATCAAGTGGTTCTCTGGACCGCGGAACAAGGCCATTCGCGAGGCGGCGGTTGGCGATGGGGAGCTGGAGTTGGGCGACTACTTGAACGGTTGGTCACCTCAACCCTTAAAATACAGAATGGAGAGGAAGGAGAAACTTGCGGCTCATACTGACATTGGCAAATAGTTCTGAAGAAGAAACACAGCAAGACGGGCGAAGACTCCAAATACCACGGCACGATCATCGGCAAGGGCAACGACGTAGGCGAGGTCCAGGTCGAGGGCGGCGACCTCCCGAGCATCCACACCTGGCGATCCAAGATGCAAGGCCCGCCGCCGGGCAGCGCGCCGTCGGCAACTTCGCCGCGTATCAAGGAGGAGTCGAGACCGCCGAGCTCGGGACTGAGCTCCGTCGGCGACAGGCTGGGCGATGACCGCGACAGCATGGACTTGTCATAGGGGGCAAACATGCGGCGACGGAACCGCGGAAGCAGCACTGCCAGCCAGGCAGGGAGCGTTGCCAGCGTTGCCAGCGTCAGTACGAGTAAGACCGAGGGCCGCGAGGGTCGCGCGGTCCGCCCGCGAGGGGGCCGCGGCCGAAGCGGTTCGACGACAGCTAGAGGCAAGGGCAAGACAAGCGGTGGCAGAGTCACCAAGAACAAGTCGACGGCCAAGGCCAAGACCAAGACCAGGGCCAAGACCAAGACCAAGACGAAGCAGAAGGACAACCACGAGGACGAGGATGGTGATTTTATGGCATAGCGCGGCGTTCTCAATAAGGGGGGAAAGGGAGGATTCATCACATTTCTTTTCGGGTCTGGCACTTGAGCGAGAGAAACCAAACCCCTCCCAACACCAAAAAGTTATTCGTCGTTCTGGAGGCGGGAACGGCAGGCATGGATTTGCATGAACACGGGACGGGGTACGTGTCCATCCTTTATTTTACGAGGGATTGGACTCGGGTGGGAACTTCCATCTGAGCATTATCACAGACTTTCTCCGGCCGAGGATAGGCTGAGAAGGGAGAGAGAGAGGTCTGCGTTTTTTTTGGGGGGCAAACATTGTCTAGAGGCCATTATCTCTAGGCCAATACTTTTCTACTTCAGTCACGTTGTCATATTGAAGTATTGAGTTGCTGCTATTACAGCATGTCTGTCTCGTTTACGTGATGTTGCGCGAGTTTGGCGAGATCACGTATACCCAATAGTCAAGATGTCAAATGTTAGGACGTCAAATGTCAAAATTTGGTTGTGATGCTTCTGAACTCTCTCGTTGTCTAAACCTCTCGAGGGGGGCATTACACTACCACCATGGTATCATCCCTCTCTCGCCAATTGGTATATCCACCTCTTCTTCGTTTCGAGGCAACCTTTGCCTCTGGGGGAATAAGACCCAAAACCCAATATCAGTTATGTACCATCTTTTTTTTTTTTTTACCAATTTCGTCCTAGAAGAAGGCGGTTTCCATGCCACCTTTTGCCGGAAATATTTCGCTTTGAAAAAAACTCCTATGCCTTCCCTTTGTCTTGCCAAAAATCCGCGAGATATGCTATATGCCCCTTCCAAAAAATTATACACAGTTTGTGAATCTTTCTTCGTCTTTCCTTCTCTTTCACCTGGATATATTGAAAACCGAAAAAAGGAGACATCTAGTTATCGCGGTGGGCCTGGGCAGTCCTCGACTCGTGCGCGGTATGCCCCGGGTTAGGCAGGATATCGCCGTCAGCAGTGACGAGGTTGTCCTCGTAATCGGTGCTATTCCTCAGCAGGCCGGCCTCCTCGCCGCTGCCGTCGTCGTTATCGCTGCCGCTCGAGGATGTGCCCGAGGCGTGCGCGACCTCCATGTGGCCGCGCTGGACCTCCTTCTGGGCGTCCTCGCGCATCTGGGTAATCTTGATGTAGTTGTACGCGACGATGGCGCCCATGGTGGTAATGAGACCGACGAAGTTGACAGGCGTCAGGCGGTCGTTGAAGACGATGGCGGCGGCGGAGATCGTCACAACCTCCTTGAAGATGCCGGCGATAGAAAGCGTCACGACCGAAGTACGCTGCAGCAGAGCGAATTCCGAGGCCGTCATCAGGAAAGCGATGCATCCGGGGAAGAGGAGGAACAGCGGCGTGGTAACGGCGCCCCATTCGGCTACCAAGACCTTCAGGCCCTCGATGAGAGCGGGGAAGCCCTCGACGGGGATGGCGATGACGATCAGCGTCAGGAACATGACCGGCGCTAGGAAGAAGATGCTGGAGAACGGGTTCGACGTTGCTGGGTTGCGCAGGAGCAGGATTTGAGTCAGGCCCCATCGGAATCCAGAGAAGAAGGCCGCAGAGATGACGAGAATGAATCCGCTAACTTTGAACTCGACTTCGCCCGACACCATAAGGACGACACCGGCAGTCATTGTCGCAATAATAGCCACGAGGCGCCAGGTGGGCTTCTCAAGCCTGAACAAGAAGGCGAAGATCAAAACGAACGCTAGAGAAGACGATTTACACATTGCTTGAAAGGCGTTAGTTTAATTTTGGGTGGTGAGCTTGGATCGGCGCATATCACTTACTGTAGAACGTCAGGGTAATGAACTTGAGGGAAGTGTTTCCGAGTCCAATATCGAGACCGGTTGCGGCGCCACACGGCCCAATGCGCGTCAGATAGAACATCTTGGTCATGAGAGGTCGGTCGGGCTCGGATTCGTGCCGCGAGCGCCCCAAATCCGAGTTGCGCACTCCATTGGATGGGCGCAGAGAGGGTATTAAGAATAGCACTAATGATGCGAGGCCGAATTGAACCAACATGTGGCAGGCCGTTGTGAAAAGAGGGAAAGCAAAGTTGAGGCGGTTCTCGTCAAACATCCACTTGTTATACTGCGGGACGGGGTGTCAGATTGTGATTCTGCTGACGGAATCGACAAAGAGTGTATGAGGAAATTGGCTTACCAGCGAGATGCTGAGGGAAAACAGGTACCACAGCAAGATCAGGGCAACATTGACGGCGGACTTCCTGAAGACGTTTTGATCTGCCTCCTTCTTCTCCTCGGCCGAGATTTCGCCCCGGACGAAGCGCTGATCTAACCGCGTGTTGTTTCTCTTCTTTTGTTTCTTCCTCCTCTTATCCTTCTTCGTCAGACCCGTCTCCTCGTCATCATGGAGGTCCTCGTCGGAAAAGCTGTCGTCGTCCATATCCTTGGATGCCGATGGTGTTGCTCCGAGGTCTTCTTCCGATATCTTTGGCTCTTCCAGCATGTTCCCCTGATTCCTTGACGGAACTCTTTGGTGGTTACTAGCGCCGGCACTTTGCATGAGCGAGCTGCGGCGCCGGCGGTGACCGGTTCCTTTCAATGGCTCCATCTCGATCTCGTTGATGTCGGCGGCGGCGACAGGAGAAGGGCGTTCTCGGCCGGTGGTGTTGAGGGAGGAAGAAGGGCCCTGGCGCAAAGATGCGTGGGCAGTATCAGCGTCGACGATGTCTCGTGACCGGGCACCATCCAGGTTCGAGGGGGTGTTATCCGTGGTGGTCGCGTGTCCAGGCGAGGGTGCGTTGGGTGGTGGGAGGAGCAGAGGTGACGGGCTCAGGAGGCGGCGGTTGGTGGTAGCAGTAGTGTGGTGGTCGTGTGAGGCGGAGGAGGTGGAGGAGGGGAGGGCGTCGTCGTGGTCAATGGGGTCGGGGGAGGATGATACGGCACTGGCAGCAGCCGAGACGAAAGCAGAAGCAGATTGAGATTGAGGTTGAGAGTGAGATTGAGATTGGCTAGGGTCGGGAGGCAACAGGACATGCACAAGTGAGGAGGAAGTCGAGTCGGAGGGCGAGGAGGAGGATTGGGGCATGATTTAATCTGGGATTCCACAGCGGGATTCACAAGCACAAAAGCTGCCGGGGCTGGTAGGCTGGGCTGGGTGTATCCGTACGGTGGACCGGGTGGCCGTTGGTAAGGTCAGATCCAGGTTACCGGCCGTCGTTCTCTGGGCATCTGGCTTACTCTGGAGACAGTCAAAGGTAGATCCGCCTGGGTCGAGAACTGGGCGCAGTTGATTTGCTGTCCGGGTCTGGGCTTGTGTGCTTTGGTGTAATGTTTGGTGCATTTGGAAGCACAATTGGAGTTAGGCTGTCGAGAGGACAGACTGCCCGCCAGGCCGAGAAGCACCAGAGGTCAATCCTGGTCACGGCGGTGCGGATCATTTCTCCAGTCACAGGTGTCGCGCGGGCGCCCACACGCGGACGAGGTGGGTACAGCGATCCACTGCTAGGGAGAGAGAGAGTGAGAGAGAAAGAGGGACTGGCAGTGGGCACTAGGTACCTATCCTTACTGGGAAAGGGGGAGGGGGGGGAGGGGACCGGGGACGGGGACGGGACTGATGCTGCAGGTACGTACCGCTGTGTGGCCCTGCAGCCCCTGCCCATGATCTCGGTGGCTTATGCTTACCGCCAATTACCGCTACCACCCGCCTTCCACTCCTCTGAACTTCTCCTGAGGGCTTCAATCTCTGCAAAAATGTCCAATGTCTCGTCTCTGCTCTCCTGCTTCCTCCTCCCAAGATGAAATGTGGGTATATCCTTGGCACGCCTCACAGTGGAGACGTCTCGTGGGCATCTGCTGCAGCACTGGATTCGCTTCCAGGCTTTCCTCACGGCGGTCAGGGTCGCCCATCAGGGATGACCTTTCCTGATGCTCCCTGTGACATGCCAGCTCAGAAGACACTCACCAAGGCACGCGAGGAGAAGGAGGCGATTCTTGGGTGTGAAGTGGGAAATCCCTATGCAGAGCGGCCTGGCGAGAACAACTGTCAACAAACACCCACGCAGCGTCCTTCACCGGGGACAGTGCATCCCACCTCGGGCTGGGTGAGGATCACTGGGCTCTGGAAGACTGACGGAAGGAAGAATTGGGTCTGCCTGCAATAACAACTGCTACTATGAGAGATTTCCTCTCAAGAGTCACCGCCTGGACGAATGAGATAGTAACAATACGCGTGTTTTTTGAGTCATCTTGCTCTTCGTTCATGGTCCCCGTCTTCAGCTGGACAACGTTCGTTTGTCTTTTTATGCTTTCCCGCGGCCCGTCACTAGTCTGCCCTTCTAACTAAAGTATCTGAGATTACCTCGAGGTACGCGAAGTTAGCTGCAATGTGTTAGCCCCTTTATCCGTTCTGACCCCCCCATCAACCTCATATACACAGCATTAAGTGAGGTCACAGACCGAGCAGTGAAGCAATAGCATTAACGCAAGAGTGGCCCAGATCGCCAGAGAATGAGGGTCGTCCGAAGATGTGATGCTTCAAGTTTCACGGGCGGTAAATGGAGCCGTTCGTCGGGTCCTACTAGAGCTCACACACGACCTCCGAGAATGCAACCTCCCATTTAAGCTTGGCCCAGCCGTCTCTCACATCCAGAGTCACAGGATCTCTCATCCACTCGTTGGGGGCCCTGCTCGACGCAACCTTACCATAACGCCCCCCCCCCTCCCTCCTCCCCTCCTCCACTTGACTTCTCTCCCCTCACCGCGGTTCCGCAGGTCAAGCTGCAGGGCATTTCATCCATCCTGGGCAGCACAAGTTTCTCGGTTATGTTGCTAGCCATGTGGTTAGGTGTCACGGTCGTCGGTAGAGCTCTAGCTGCTAACCTAGGCACAGGAGTCTAGTGGTCGGGACTGTTCCAACCTTGCGATGAGAGTGCTCGGGTGACCAACTGCCCAGAGCGATCCAACACCCACCTTAGATGAGTGGGAGTCTCACACTCAACTTGAAAGTCTCACACACCAGCCTGTGACTTTCTCAGACCAACTCAAGTCGCAACTCTTCTCTTCCCAGCACAGATTTCACTACGTTCCGGACCCGGATCCTCGGGCTTGCTCCGCGACCCGCTGCCGAGCAAAGAAAAGCCCACCCCAGCATCCGAGTTGTTTGAATCATTTGGAGAAGAGAAAAAGCCGCCCACCCATCCCTCACAGTCTCGAGGTAGTTGATGATTAAGAATGAAAGTGATCAACCTCATCCCAAACAACCGTCGCATTGTTTTCGTTTCCGGGCCCGTTTCTTCTGAGACTTTTTGCCTTGCCGGTACGACTTATGGAGTACAATAGACACAGCAAGAAACATCCTTATTGACCTCGGTCCGTCTCCGTTCAGTGGCAGCTTTTCCCCGCCGCCTTGTTCCTCTTTCGTGCATGGACCTCTACCTACTAATACGAATAAAAATTCATCCCAAAAGAGGCATCGAGCTCACAGACGGTGGGCAAGAGAGAGTCCGAGTCCGATGTGGCTCTAAATTCGGAACTATCGACTGACAGATGCAAAGCAGTGTACCGCCGTGCCAACCTCTCACATCTTCTCCGTCTCTTTCTCCCCCGCAGACCGCGAAGAAGAAAAAAGAAACAAGACGGCGTCACAAGCTACCTACCTGCCTACCTACCTGCCACAGGTCCACAGCCGTGAGCTCCCTAGGCCTCAGGGCCGTTGAAATGTCTTGTCTTACCCAGCCCCGACGTGTTGTTTTGCTTGAGAAAACACCCGGCGCCAAAGACCAAGAAGAAGCACTAAAAAAAGCCCCCCAGGGCGGTTGAGTGAGACACTAACCCGCCTCATCCAGCCTTTCTATTACCGTAGAAACTCGAGCAACTCGAACTTGCGCTAGCCCGTGCCAGCCCTGCTAGCGGCCCACACTAAGCCCTTTCGAGGGATCAGTTTTATCCGATTATATAATCGACTAAACCGTATACGGAAGGCGGTAAGTGATTATTTTCCATTTTTTACTCCTACCCAACTGCCCACTTCCACCGATTACATCACCGATTTGACCACCAATTATACTGTCAATTATACCTCCAATTACACCTCCACCACGGGCCTCGTCGACGTGCCCACGATGCCCTCACGACGGGCCCTTGCCGAGAAGGATTCGAATACGGCAAAAGTGCCAATTACACCTCCAGCAGCTAAGCGCCGCGGGCCTGCTCCTACCCCCATCAAAGACCGGAAATATACACCGCGAAGTGGCCCAATCAAGCGCCGCCAGCACCACTATACCCACGATACCAAAGTCAACGTCCTGATGTTTTTAGAGCATCACCGCGTGAGGAAGCTCGACGAAGAGTCGATTTGCCCCCCGAGGCTGCGCCAGGGCGAGACCGAGCTCCCAGGGATATACAGACGTCCCACATACCAGGAAGCCGCAGATTGGTTCAAAGTCCCTCGAAGCACGGTTATCTCCTGGTATCAGAACCGCGAGTCAATCGTCAATCGGTCCTCCAACTACGCCTACCACCCTCAGTGGCCAGAGCTCGAGACAGCGCTATACGGCGCCTTCCGCCAGCGACGAAGTGAGGGAAAGCTCGTTAGTACCAGTTGGTTCAAAAGGACCGCTAAGCGGATTTTCGCCCAGCAGAACCCGAACAGCAAACATCTTTTTATTTTTTCCCCCGGTTGGTTTCGTGGCTTCCAGAATCGTATGAGAATTACCCGACGTCGACTTACCAAACAGGCAACGAAGTTACCCACTGAGTACTTCAAAGTTGTCAACAGCTTTCTTTCCTTTATCCGACGAGTTAATCAAATGGCCCTGGCTAAGGTGAAGCGGTCTAACGTCGGAGATTTACTCGGAAGTCCAGCCCGTCGATTTCCTAACTCGCGAATTCTCAACCTCGACGAGACCCCAGTTCCTTTCGAATACCTAGACGGTTACACATACGACGACGTCGGGGCCAAAACCGTGGCTGGCAAGAGCGACCGCAGCGGTTGGGGCAAGCGGCAGGCCACATTAATACTCTACATCTTCGCCGACGGCATACAACGAATTAAACCGAAAATAATATTCCACGGCAAGCCCGCAGAGGAAGGGGGTCAATTATGGAAAAAAGAGGGCCTATTATACGCAGAAGGAGTGACAGTTGAGTTCAACAAGACTGCCTACAACAATGAGTACTTGTTCAAAAGATGGATTGAAGAGGAATTGGTAGCGCTGACTAAGGGAGACGAGTACCTATTGGTAATGGATGTCGCTTCCTTCCATAAGACAGATTCCATCCTTGCGCTATTACGTCAGCACCACATCACACCCTGCCTCATACCGCCAGGGACCACTTCCCTCCTCCAACCTCTCGATACCGCAGTCAATAAGCCCTTCAAGCAGTGGCTTTCAGAAGCAACCGACGCTTACGTACTCGACGAGGAAGAAAAAGCGCTGAATAAGCAGGAGGAGCTCAAGTGGGAGACGGGTATGAAGAGAATAATGGTCACCAAAACAGTCGAGACGGCAGCCGCTAAATTGGCCCACGAGAAGGGCTCAATGGTCAGCCAGGCCTTCCTGCAGTGCGGAATATCTATTCGGCCCGATGGCAGCCAGGTCGACGAGATCCGGATCAAAGACGTGCCCGCCGAGGCCATCGATTACACTGGGTGGGAGCTCTTCGACGTAGAAGCCCACATTGAGCAGGAGACGCTGCAAGAGGAGATTCCAGACTTCGCTGTTCTGAACGACGGGTTAGAGTACATTTTCACAGCAGAGGAAGTCCGTGATGGCATCAATGGGCAGTTCGTCGACCCGACAGTCCAACCGCCGTATGAATAGGGGCCCGTTGGAGGCAGTGGGCCAGGGGACAGTCAGGGGCTCGGTTGCTTACGTACGACTGCTTCCAATTGACACTTTTGCCCTTTTTGCCAATTCGACGAGAAAAGCTCAAAACCGACGAGAAAGCCAAAATAATTATTGAATTATATCAATTGTGGGTCCGGCCTCGACGGCGAGCTCTCATTGGTCAGATCGATCGAAATGTTAACCTACGCCAAAAATAGGTGGCGGCCGCATTTAACCACTTTAGGCAGTATTACGATTCTGCCATAGCGCTAGCAGGGCTGGCACGGGCTAGCGCAAGTTCGAGTTGCTCGAGTTTCTACGGTACCCGCCGCTGCCCGTACGCCGTTGAAGTGTTTTTTCTTCCTTTTCTTTTCTCGTTCCCCAGCGCGTCAGTGTCTCACTCTCGCGTAGGACGCTCGACAGGAGCCTTTGGGATGAGCTAGATGTTCCAAGGGAGGGAAGTGGTCCAGACCCTTTTCCATGATGTCAGCCACCGTCATTCAACACCGTAGATCCGTCCCCGCGTACGAGTTCAAGTCCCCTGCGATCGATCTCTCGACTCAGGTCAGCAGTGGGTTCTTGGGCAGAATGGTTTAGGAATCCCCCCAGCAAATTGGGCATGGGCTCCCCCATAACCCGTATTCTGCTTATGAGAGTTTCCAGTATTGATCATGTTGATAGTGCCTAAGCTCCAACAGGGTAGCTCTGCGCGTTGTGCCTGGGACCAGCCAAACTTGGGGTTGCCGATCTGGCAGCTCTCACTCCATAATCCATAATTTCCATAGGAGCTGAGCTCCAAAGTGGATTCTCGCTAGCGGCTCGATGCTTCCTGCGATATTGGGCAGCGTCATCAAGCTTCGGATGCTCGACATCACATCACGCACATTGGGTCCAAGCTCGTCTCTCCGAGAAAAGCTGTCTCTTTGGAAAAGCGAATTCATCTTCTCATCCGAGAACTGCTGCAGCTGGTGCTCGGTGGATTTGGTGGTCAGTCTCGCAGCGGGAGCGAGCGGGCATTCGTTTCCGTTCACGCTGCAGCATGTCGGCTGCAAGTCGAGAACCCGAGCGCTAGGTGTTAGTCGGCGTTTATCATCGAGAGACAGAGAGAGAGACGACCATGACAAAAGCGTCCGCTGACATGTGCTTGTTTGATTCCCCTCTCCCGCAAGCCACAGTAGCCGCAGATCGTGGCTTCCGCTCTACCCGTTCTCTCAGTAATCGCCGGGGTTTATCCCCTCTTTGCTTAGACCTCAAGCTTGACTTCATAGCTTACATTCAGTTGGTTTTACAATCGTTCAGCAGTGCCCGTTTGGTTGATTATTTACTGTTATCTTGTCAAATATCTCTTCATAATCATCCTATTCAAAGGGGTCTCACATAAACACTCAATAACTACGGTAGACTTTGATATCCCCCCTCACATCTCACTTACAAGAAGCCTCTCCGACTATCCGGAAAACGACGTCATGGCTCAACAGTGCTCGACAAGACATGTCGCCGGCAGCCGCGCCGGGTACCTGCCGATCGAAGACTATGGCATGATTGGCAACATGCACACATGCGCGCTCGTGGGGACGAACGGCTCTGTTGATTTTATGTGTTGGTATGCAATTGCCTCTCGTTTGTCTTGTGCTACTTACACGTCCCATCCGGGCCGACGTTACACTCGGCCGAGTGACGAACCCCAAACGCTCTCTCCAGCTCATTCATAGCAGCCTATGGAATAGACGACACAAGATGCTAAATGAAGATTCCCCAAATGTTACAAGGTTTCAAGAGCACGGTGATTGAAGTGCCTCTCATCCGGGATATCCGGCCGTCATGACCTCAATTTCCTAGTTGATGAGATGATGAGACGAGAAGATGATGGTACTCACTTCTCATCCATGAACCTTGATCTGACGCACCATCCCAGGCCCGACTTCGATTCGCCCAGTGTCTTCTGTCGGTTACTAGATCAGGAAAAGGGAGGCTTCTTCAGCATCTGTCCTCCTCCGTCCAAGCTATGTACAACAAAGTGAGCAACCTGAGTACTCACACACGTCGTGTTGCCCTCTGACCAATTCCCAAAGGCAACAATACCTCCCATCCTCCAACATCTTGCAAACGAGATACATCCACGATGACGGCGTCGTCGACGTCGTGGACTTTTTCCCTCGCCCCAAGACCGCCACGGTCATATCAAAGAGTACTCGCCAAGGCGCGTTCCGTGAGACGACCAAGATCCAGGAGGAGCTGAAGAAATGGCTCGTCCGTCGAGTCGAGTGTATCCGCGGCCGTCTCCAGCTTGGTGGGTTACTGCTCTTAAAACGCCCTGATTTCAGTCGATACTGAATTGTATCTCGTTAGACGTCGAGATCTTCCCAGCTTTTCAATACGCCAGCGAGTCCCACGTCACCACAATCATCGAACCAACTCACACGGCCAACAGCTCAAGCAAAGCCGTCACCTTCCACAGCGAGCACTATAAGATGCAGCTCGACGTCACCGTAGACGACGTCGCCGAGCCGGACGCGTCAGCTTCAGCACCGGCCCCCTCCATCACCTTTAGAAAGGAGAAGCGCAACGGCATGCTAGGCGAGGGCGTCGTAGCGCACTTGGAAATCACAGAGGGTCAGGCCGTCTCATTCGTCCTCCGCAACGACAAGCCGGACCACGTCACGGAGAACGTCACGACGGCGGTGCTCGACGGTCAGCAGCACGATACGCAGTCGTTTTGGTATAATTGGATCTCCAACAGCAAGTACAAGGGCCGGTGGCGCGAGGTCGTCAACCGGAGCCTGATGCTGCTCAAGATGCTGACGTATGAGCCTACCGGCGCCATTGTGGCTGCGCCGACGTTTTCTATTCCCGAGGATATTGGCGGTGTTCGGTAAGGCTCTTTCCGTCATCCCATTGTGCTTGCCTCTTCTACTTGTGGAGAGAATCTCATCAGTTTTGCGAAACAGAAACTGGGACTACCGCTTCTGCTGGATCCGCGACTCAAGCTTCACAATCTACATCCTCCTCCGCCTGGGCTTCTCCGCCGAGGCAGACGCCTACATGGACTTCATAAGCGAGCGCTTCGTCAAGTCGCGCGGGCCCAGCGGCGAGCTGCCCATCATGTTCACCATCCGCGGCGAGACCGAGATCCCCGAGCAGGAGCTCGATCACCTCGAAGGGTACCGCGGCAGCAAGCCGGTGCGGATCGGCAACGGCGCTGCGTTCCATCAGCAGTTCGATATCTATGGCGAGCTCATGGATGGCATTTATTTGTACAACAAGTACGGGAAGCCTATTAGCTGGGATCAGTGGTGTTCTGTGAGGGAGATGTTGGGTATGTTTTCTGGGCGTTGATAATGCGCTTGTTGGATCGTCCAGCTGACTTGCTGTGTAGACTTTGTCCTTACTTTGACGGATAGTAAGTTGTCGACTTGCTTTTGTTAAAGTAGATGGAAGTACTCACGTTGAAAGAACCCGACATGTCCATCTGGGAAGTCCGCAACAAGAAACAAAACTTCACCTACTCAAAAGTCATGCTCTGGGTCGCCTTCGACCGCGGCCTCCGGCTCGCAGATAAACGCAACTTCCCCTGCCCCAACCGCAGCAAATGGCTCGAGGCTCGCGATAATCTGATGGAGGAGATCATGGACAAAGGTACGAACGACCTTTGCATTTCAGCTCGTCTCTCACCAACGGCTCCATTCCTATACCACCAACCCTCTCATTTTCATCTCAAGTTATACATGATGAATATCAGATGGAAAGAAAAACAACAATGCTGATCAGGCCCCACGTGGGGAGAATAAACAGGCTACAACAAGGAAATGAAGTGCTTCGTCCAGAGCTATGAGAACAACACCATGCTCGACTCCTCGATCCTCATCGCCCCCCTCGTCTTTTTCATCGCCCCCAACGACCCGCGCTTCCTAAACACAATGGACCGCATCCTCATGCCTCCCGAAAAGGGCGGCCTCACCAGCACCGGTCTCGTCTCCCGTTACGATACCGAGCTCTCGGACGATGGTAAGCGGCACCCCCGCCCCCTTTTCTCCTCCCCCTTCCAGAGGTCCTACACACCGTGCAATGTGAAATCTAACCTGTCTTGCAATCCACCCAGGCGTCGGCGGAAGAGAAGGCGCCTTCAGCATGTGCACCTTTTGGCTCGTGGAAGCAATGACGCGCGCCTCCGTCTACGAACCCAAATACCTCGTCCGCGCCGTCAATCTCTTTGAGAACATGCTCAGCTTCTCCAACCACCTCTCCATGTTCTCCGAGGAAATTGCCCGCAGCGGCGAGCAGCTCGGTAACACGCCCCAGGCTTTTAGCCATCTGGCTCTCATCAGTGCCGCCTTTAATCTGGATCGGGTTACCGGGTTCCAGCGGTGACATCGGTTGATATATCGCGTGGATCCGGGGGGGATGAAATGAGTGAGTGGGTGAGCGATTGGGGTTTGGGTGAATTCCTTCCTCTGCCCCCTCTCACGTACCCTCTCCGCTACCAATTATCAAGCTGTCAGGAGTGGCGAAGAAAGATAGATAGTTTGGGATTTTGGGTCTCATGAAACTCCTTGGGTATACTCCAAGGAACGTTACCCGATTTCACATCTTTTCCACCGCGTCAGACTGCGTGACAGTTAGTAGCACAGCAGGGTACGTGAGAGGGGTTCATACGCGGCGTTGCAGTTTTGCATCACATGGATGGCATGATGAATACAAAGTTCAACCGAGAAAATGCTTCTATTTTTGTGTCATACGTTAATTATGATGGGTATGGGTGACCTCCAACTCCAGAACGCCAAGTCTAGCCCGGAAAAGACTCTTCTTGAATCAAGATACAATCATCCAAGCAGCTTGAGACCGTTCTTGGTCTTCTGTCCGGGCTTCGTGACGCCGTGACTATGCACAGGGCCAAGGTGGGGTTCATACCCAGTACCCTCACCATGCTTGTTTCCTCCACCACCGCCGCCGCCACCACCGTTGCCAGAGTGCTTCTTGTTCTTGTTATTGCGGTTGTTGCGGTGGTCCTTGCCCTTGACGTTGGTGATCTTGATCTCCGTGTTCGCCTTGCGGACAGTGACGGGGTGACTCTGGATGTACTTGCCATTCATCTCCTTAGCAGCCTGGAAAAAGTCGTCGGCGTCGCTAAAGGAGACAAAGCCATAGCCCTTGGACTTGGCAGTGCGCTTATCTCGGATCACGCGCGCCTTCTGCACCGACTGCCACCGGGCAAAGGCCTTGAGGAGGGACTCATCGGTGACTTCGCCGGCGAGGTTGCCGACAAAGAGGCGCAGGTGACTCGGGTCCCACTCGGCGAGGGTGTCGTCGGTCCACTTCTTGCCGCCGCCCTCGCGGACGACGGTCTTCTTGCGCTCTGGGGGTTGGTTCGCTGCTGCGGCGGCGGCGGCAGCGGCTGCGGGGTCGATGATGGGAGGAGTCGCGACGTTGCTGCCTGTGGCGGGCATACCACCGCGGCCGCCGGGAACGACCGGGTCTCTACCGCTGGCGTCCTTACTGCCGTTGGAGCTGTACGCGCTCTGCCACTGTGCTATCTGCATCGCCATGTCCGGGTCGTAGTCGGAGGCTGAGGCGACGGATGCGCCGGCAGCAGGGGCGCCGGTGCCGGGAATCGGGAACGGGTTGCGAATCTGCGGCGCCGCGCCGTAGGTCGAAGGCGGCGCATTGTAGCTCGAGGCCTGGCCGTAACGAGAGCCGGCGCTGGGTTGTGCGTATGAGTCGTATGCGGGCACTGGTGCCGCATAGCGGCCGGCGGCTACCGAGGGCGAGGGGGACGGTTGTTGCTGGTACGTCGCGTAGGAGGAGCCATAACGGGCAGCGGGCGCTGGCGCGCCGGCGTAGCTTGGTGCGCTCGAGTAGGAGGGAGGCGCGGAGGAGGTTGCAGCTCCGTAGGCAGGTTTGAAGGCGGGCTTGAAGCCTCCGGATGACTTGCTCGGAGGGGGCCGCGCGGGCAGGGAGGGATGGGAAGGTGGATTGCCGGTGGAGGGGCCGCTTGAGATACCTGGAGGGGGCGGGTAGGCCATGATGAATGAACTGCGGGTATGATACGGTTTTTTTGGTACAAGCAAGGCGCGTATGGCTTTGCTTGAGTTTTTTTGTGGCAACGTACCTCTGAGCCTGGGGTGTTCCTGCTCAAAGAAGTCAGACCTCCTTTGCTGTTTGCTATAGCCGACGGTGGGTGTGCTGTTGTCGGGGCTGTCGCAAATGCAGAGATGGGTTTGTTGGTGATGTATTCGGAGAAATTCTGACGATGTCGTCTCAGCCTCGGCGATGGCCCGTGGCCGATGTGGCTGGTGGCTAAGTCCGACGTATCACGTGCCAGGTGTGGCTTTACCTGGATGAAGCTCGGACAAGATACTGTCCATGGCTTGGTACTGCTCTTCAACCTTTCAGGTGGGTGGACACCAACTGCCGTCCATTGCATCCCGCATTCTCAATCGTTGCTTCTCGAATCCCGTGCCGCCGATTAAACGCCTAGAGAGGTTTAAAAACGGAAAACAGGAATCCCAGCTCCGTGTTGCGCCATTTGATTATTTCGCACCGGCCGTGCTGTTTGAGTCTCGACTCTCGCTCCGTTCGGCTGGGATTATCACCATCCCATTTAACCATCCTGTTCCTGCATCAGCTGCATTTTATCCGTCGGACATCTTCAGACGGACATAACGGATAATCAGTGGTGCAGCTATCGGTGTTTGCTGACTGACATCATGGCCTCCGTCGCCCTCCGACACGACGCTGCGTTTTTCCTCGGTCAGGTCCATGCCAATCAGTAATGCGCGTGGATTCTAAGCGGAGCTTTAGCGGAGTTCTCAACCGACGACTCCGGGTCGTGCGACCGATCCAAGGCCCGAAGGCGGCGGCAACCCCCACTGAGGTTGCCCCTCGTTTTCCTTTGTGAGAGCCATATTTATCGATTTGTGAGCAGCGAGGGACGGATTCACCGTCGGCGGTCGCGCTGCGGCTGCGCTGCCTCCATCCACACCTTGAGGTACCTTGGGAGATGGAGGTGCGATATTTTCTGTCCCCTTCTGCTGAGGGCGTGGGTCTCAACGAACCCAATAGATTGAGGCTGCTTCGGCCAAGCAGTCCAACTGGAGGAATTGGAGGGGTTCATTACGGCCAGCTTCGGTTTGGTTGGGGCCGACTTCCTCTGCACACCATTGGAAGCGCATCGTGATTTGTCGCGTATATCGAGCAAGGCCCGCTATCCGCTGTCCAGGGATAGGAAACGCGAGGCGCATAAGCATCGGCCGCTGCCTTTTTCCTATCCAATGCCTAATTATAATCGCAGTCGTAGTGGTGGTGGTGGTAAGGCTGCACCTCTCACGGCGTTCTCTCCGGCTGAAGGCGGAATGCCGAGCGCGCGCTCATAGATGAATAGCGACAACGCGACGTCCTGATATCTCTGTGCAAGCCTCCAGGGTTTGGACGTTCTCGAAGCTCTGCTGGAACGGCCCGGGAGCATGGGGTCTCTTCTATGCTGAAGAAACGGAATTTCCTCCAATGCAGTCCGGAGCGAGGGGCAGATGCTGCACGTGCAGGGCGGCTCCCAAGGTCGAGGGACGTTTGGGAGCATGAGCAAGACAACGACGGACCAGACAAATCAAATCCCTTCTGGCCCCTTATCCCTACCACCCAAGACGGTCCAGGAGCACACGAAGCGAGCGAGCGAGCGAGTACCGGAGCTCCGTTGGGAGGGCAATAACATTATATGCCGCCAGCAGACAGGCCGCAACGCCGCAGTGCACCACGCGAGATTAGCATTGGTGATTAGGCAGAGCCCCCGCGGCCTGTTAGACCGAGCGCAGAGTGTTCCTCCGCGGCCGTGGGTTGCGAAACGTCAGGGTCTGACGCATCGAGTTTGAATACCGGAGTCGCAAATCCCTCCCCTGGAACACGCAGAGTGTGAGACATGCTCGCGGCGGCCAATGGGAACGGGTGCCTATCGCCGAATCGGACCACAACAGGACGGATCCAGAAGCGCCTTTTTGCACGACGGGCTTCGTCAGGCTGGCGCGCTGCTTGACTAAAACACCACCGGCGTGGAGCAGGCATAATGGTCGTTGCTGGGCCGCCCTCCGCCGCGCGGGCCGGTTCTATGGCACAATGCGGTAACCGTGGTACATCAGAGTCGCTGTGGAGGGAGCAGACCGGTCCTTTTCATGCTCTCTGCGAGGGTATGTCTGATATGGCATAGACGGTGTTTGGTGTCAATTTGGCCGCCAAACGAGACAAAAGCTTCTGGCTTAATTGCTCAACAACAAAAGTGGCGGCTGGAAGAGAGACGCGGGAAAGACGAGGTGACAGAGGAGAGCATCGTCATAACTGCCCCTCCATGACAGGCCGTCCAATTGGAACTGGCTGGAGGAGGGTCTGGTTCTCTCAATGGAGCTCCACGTCCTGGCGGTGATGTATGTGTCCCTCTTCTTTCCTGTATGCGTGTACGTAGTACCTACTCCGTAATCCGTACGGAAGTGCTGGAAGTGAAAGTGGGATGCCAAAGCATGAAAAGATACAAGCAGAGTACCACCAGTACCTAGAGACTGCGGTATGTACCTCTTTGTCCATGAGTAAGCTCGTCCCGCCAACAGGAAAAAGCCAATCATCTCGAGTTAGTCCAGGAGAGTCCAGGAGGGGTGACCACTAAACAGCCAAGTCAAAGCAGCAAAGCAGCCCTGTCGATGGTCGAACAAGCCGTCTAGTCCCGCTTTTCTGCCCAGTCTTTGAGAGACTCCCACCCCCAAAGAAAGAATGGGAAGCGAAGAAAAAAGTTGTAGGTATGTATCCGTAGAAAGGCCAAGCTGCTTGCACCCAGGCGAAAAGCACCGGGAGGTACATGTCGACTGGAGTGGGAGTGTGCACATCTGCGCTTGTCATGGGTGGCCCCTGCACTAAGACAAACCCCCCTCCCCTCCTACCCCTCCGTCGACCCTCCCCCTACAAACTTCGTCCGGGTTGACGAAAGCTCCAGCTTCTCGTCTCCTTCTTGACACATTCCCTAGAGATAAATAACTCGACGCTCCCGCATGTCATCAAAGATTCGCGCGTCTGAACCTCTCCTCCATCAAACAACCACCCCCACGTAAACCATCGACACATCATTCATCATGTCTGGACCTGTGTAAGTAATACCTAGTCTGCTCTCTAAACCCCTCTTCGCTCTCAAGCCAAAGAAAAATTACCCCACCACCCCGCTCCCGACCTCCGATGCTTCACGACAATGACCACGGCTGCGAATTCCCGCATGTCGACGTCGGTTGTGATGCTTCGGTGCTGGTATGGTCTTGGGAGGTGCCAATGGACATTCTACATTGGCCTCAAGTCATGGCCTTCTCTTTTCTCGACTCAGCAACATACTCATACTCGTAATGCAGCGCTCGTCTTGCCAACCTTGTGGCAGGCGTTGTGCCTGCTCCGAGGTCCCGCTCCGCTCTCCTTCTCCTCGCACCTGAATAGGCAACGTCCGGCTAGTGAACACTCAAGCTGACCATCCTCACAGCGCTGATATGGGCCTCATCGGCCTGGCCGTTATGGGTCAAAAGTAAGTCCTTCCAGCTTCCATTGTGTAAGAAATGGTTCACTAACACTCTCAAAGCATTATCCTCAACGCCGCCGGTATTTCCGACTTTCACATCCTATACCATATTTCAGGTGGCTAATATCCCTTTCAGACCACGGTTTCACTGTTGCCGCCTTCAACCGTACCGTTTCAAAGGTCGACCGATTCCTGGCCAACGAGGCCAAGGGCAAGTCCATCGTGGGCGCTCACTCTCTGGAGGAGTTCGTTTCAAAACTTAAGAGCCCCAAGCGAGTCATGCTTCTCGTCCAGGCCGGCAAGGCTGTCGATGACTACATTGACACCCTCATCCCCCTCCTTGAGAAGGGTGACATCATCATTGACGGTGGTAACTCTCACTTCCCCGACTCCAACCGCCGCACCAAGTACTGCGCCTCCAAGGGCATCCGCTTCGTCGGCTCCGGTGTCTCTGGTGGTGAGGAGGGTGCCCGCTACGGCCCCTCCATGATGCCCGGTGGTAATGAGGAGGCCTGGCCCCACATCAAGGACCTCTTCCAGAGCATCTCCGCTAAGAGCGACAACGAGCCTTGCTGCGACTGGGTCGGTGATGAGGGTGCCGGTCACTACGTCAAGATGGTCCACAACGGTATTGAGTACGGTGACATGCAGCTTATCTGCGAGGTATGTGCCCCTCCATTCGAGCTCCCCGTAGCTATATGCCCGTAGCTAACACGACATCCAGGCCTACGATATCCTGAAGCGCGGTCTCGGCCTCTCCTGCAAGGAGATTGGTGATGTCTTCGCCAAGTGGAACAAGGGCGTCTTGGACTCTTTCCTGATCGAGATTACCCGTGACATCCTTTACTACAACGACGACGATGGAACTCCCCTCGTCGAGAAGATCCTCGACCAGGCTGGCCAGAAGGGTACCGGCAAGTGGACCGCTATCAACGCCCTTGACCTCGGTATGCCCGTCACCCTCATTGCCGAGGCTGTCCTTGCCCGCTGCCTGTCCTCGATCAAGGAGGAGCGTGTTAAGGCTTCCAGCAAGCTTCAGTACGTTGGCCGCACCAACAAGTTCGAGGGCAACAAGGAGCAGTTCATCGACGACCTCGAGCAGGCTCTGTACGCCTCCAAGATCGTCTCCTACGCTCAGGGTTTCCAATTGATGAACGAGGCCGCCAAGGAGTACGGCTGGAAGCTTAACAAGCCCTCCATCGCCCTCATGTGGCGTGGTGGTTGCATTATCCGCTCCGTCTTCCTCAAGGACATCACCAACGCTTTCCGCAGCAACCCCGACCTCGAGAACCTTCTCTTCGACGACTTCTTCAACAAGGCCATCCACACTGCTCAGCCCGGCTGGAGAGACGTTGTCGCCAAGGCCGCCCTCCTCGGAATCCCGACCCCGGCCTTCTCCACCGCTCTGTCTTGGTTCGATGGTTACCGCACCAAGGACCTCCCCGCCAACCTTCTCCAGGCCCAGCGCGACTACTTCGGTAAGCTACTCGATACTACAAATTCCTTTGACAAGTTGCTAATCAGATCACTCCTGCAGGTGCCCACACCTTCCTCGTCAAGCCCGAGTCAGCTAACGAGAAGTACCCCGCTGGCCAGTACCACCACGTCAACTGGACCGGCCGCGGAGGTAACGTCTCTGCTTCTACATACAACGCTTAATGGTTTTCTGGATAGGTTAAATAGAGGGCTCGCTAT